CGCCGGTGGTTGCAGAGGTGCGCGGAAGACATCTGAGACGGGTCGAGTCTTGGTTTGCGGGGAAGAGAAAAGGGGACAAAATCAACTGATCACAAAAGGGGCAGGATTAGAATCACTCGCTATCGTCTGCACGTCGGACACGTTTTCGGCATCTACCGGTCGAATTGCACACTCATTACCGCAAGGACTCCTTTGAGGCTGCTCCCCGTAGGTCACCTCTCGTCGCTGCGCCGCGCGGGAGGATCTGCACAACGGCCGTCCGGCACAAGGGGCACCCATGGGCTCCGGACGTCTCTAACCAGGCACATTCATGCGAGAGACTTCCACGAATCGCTACACGGCCACATGTAGGTACATTTCCCTTTTCCCCTTGTGTGTCCTGGATTGTGTTGCTGAAATTCTGGCGTACGGAAAAGCCGCACCACACAAAGGAACCGGCACATACTAGTGCACTTGCGTAGCTGCTACTTTCAGGAGCATGTCGTGTTTGTCGTCACTCGATGTAACGTCCGACGCAATGACGCCGAGATCACACCCGGCCCAGCTATTCTCCCTCTTACACAGAACCTACTACCAACTAGGTGAGCGCCTGTTTCTTTGCCGCCAAACTTGTTGCTAACATCATCTGATAGAATAGACCCACGGCCCAAGGATGTCTTGGTAAGACCGGGGTCCGGCTTGTACTCACTGCTCTGCAAGACAAGCGTCTGCGCGACGACGGCAACGTGCAGCCTGTCCCCCCTCGCTTAAGCCCCTCAGTGGGAATCCTATGCCGGCGGCCATGCGCTCCTCGAAGAGCCGGCAGAATGGGGCGGGCTTCTCGCGCGAGTGGCTTTTGGCCAAGGATGCAGCGTCCCGTAGTCGTCGCCCAATAACTTGAGGCTCTTCCGTCACCGATGACCTATGGGCAATCAACCTGGAGCATATGAGCTTCGAGAGGGGCCCTTTCATGACTTTCCAGGCGACTGGAAACGGAATGCTCGGCGCACCCACAGAGAACGCATGAGAGATTCTATCCCCTGATTCTTGGTCCTGTAGTAGGCTGGGAGGGGGCTCGTGCAGACCTGGGCTCGTGTGCCTGCGCGCATCCCGCCACAGCTACGCTCTTTGTTTACATGCTCGCTCGCGCCTGGCTAAGCCATTGGATGCTTCCGGTCCAAAGTGGCAAACATCTGCCGCCCAACGGGGGCGACAAACAGAACAGAACACGTTTATGGAACGGGAAACGCAGAGGTTCTCTTTGCGGCCCGCAGAATGTGACTCCGCCGGGAGGAAGTCCAGCTGGCATGTGTCACTGGTAGGTAGCCTTTTCTCATCAGGTCAGTGCTCATGATTTTGGCTGGGCGGGTCAGCAGGCACCCTGCTCTCTGTTGTTTCGCCTCATCTCAGCTTCGACCGACCGGCACAAGTCTCGGCTCATTGCGAGCCCGCCGGTTGACATTTGTCGTCAACTTTTCCCGCAAGACCTGAGATGCTTCGGATGGGCCTCTGGGGCGTGAATTGCAGAAGTCTGCTCGAACGTGTGGACCGTGTCTGTCTGCCCTGGCCATCTGTGTCTGGCCTCGCCGTCGCCCAAGTGTGCGACGTCACCAATATGTAATGGCAGTGCCCATTTGATGGAGAAAGTCGTTGCATCCGATCACATTACTCAGTCTCCTCACAGGCTAAGCCGGCAGGTTGACGATCCGCTACACTCTTCTGACCTGTGCTGGAGACAGCGGCTGGCCCGCCCCGATGCCATCTGATCATGACACGCTGGGCGATCTGACAGGACCTACAAGAGCGATCACCCTCACATTGGAGCATCCTACATGTGTATTTCATTGTTACTTCTTCCCACTGGGGCGCCTCGTCTGAAAATAACGCTAGAATCCAAGGAGGCAGGTCCTGAAATGACTGGCATGGCGGCCAGTGGCATACAAGCCTCGCGGGAGGCGCCGCTTGTACGGGGAGGGCTGGGAGACCGATCCGTGGCTTGAGCTCCATTGCGCTCTGCCTTTGTTCGGTTGAGCCTGCTGTCAACAATGGTTGAACAGCCTATGGGCCATTGTGTCTGTAGTTGGGAAAATGTGCTTGCAAGCTGGGCTGTGTTTTCTGCGGGACATCGTGTAGCACGGAGGTTTGCGACGCCAAGGGCTCCTTGAATAATTTCCTGTCTCTACGACAGCGAACTACGAGCGTTCGCATCTTGTTCACGGCTGATGCGCGATATCTTGTGATAAGCACCGACTTCAAAGGTAGTGCCTGATGCGGGAAAGCCCCAGAGGAAGTCCTCAACTGAGGATGAGCTAGACCATAGTGTCTGAGCAACCCAGGCTATCTCGAACCAGCCAGCCGTTGCGAGCGATCCCGAAGACGGTTGGTTGGGCTAGTGGCCCTGCGAAACCGAAGGACTGCAAGGCTGTAGAAACGAGCGACGACCCACAGAAGTTGCGAATATATTAGGAAACAAACAAGCCTGAGAGAAGCTTTGGTCTGTCCAAATCCGTCTTGCTTCATCGGGTCATTACTCGTTTCCATAGCTTTAAAGGTGCCCCGGTTGCGTGGAACCTTCTAGCCCAACAAGTAGTTCTCGGTTCAGTTTCCCATATGTTCAAAAGCTCCAAGGCTTGTCTCGAATTTCAAACGTGACCACCCCTAAAACGGTCTATTTACGTCGCTCACTGCGCAGAGAGGCATTTACGAAATCAGAGGCCAACTATTGTTTACAGCCAAGCCTGTTCTAATGGCTCCTCGCTGGTGGATACTTGATGTCTTCCAAGACTTTATGGATAGGCCGAGACTCGCTACTCGCCAGAAACGGTCAGACTCCACAACAGCATAATGCGATACTCGCACGCCTATACCGGTGTCAGAGCCATGTTAGCTGGGACTTCGAGCTGAAGGTGCTGGATACAAGGGCCAGAGTCATCTGCCCGAAACTACATGCGCTCAGAGCCCGTGAATACCGGCGTGTCTTACCGGTCTTGACGAGAGGAACTACCCTGGTAGAACTGAAAGCCACGGGTCGGCGACCGGTCAAGCAGGGCGCATGAGAAGCCTCACTCATGTTGACTGTCACTTTTTGGGCAATGGGGCCCCGTGCCTCATGGCCCAACATATCACTTTCATGTCTCACATCCTGTCCTACACAGGCTATGCTGTAGCACCCCGCAAACAGAGACAGGCTCTCGCAACCTTGTGGCGTGGGGTGCAAGGAAGCCACCCGCTGATGGGACCGCCTGCCCTCGAGTGCGGAATCTTGTGACCCGCCCCGATTCAGCCCATGGGATCTCGCAGCTCGGTTATCGTGAACCCCTAAAGTCGAGTGCGAGTGTGTGCGAGAGTGTCTCTAAGTGCGCGTGTGCGCTTGCGCGCGTGTGGCCCCATTGAGAAGCACGCCTTACCGAGCCCCCCAACACAGTAGCTTGGGCCCATGCGAGGGCGGGTGTCAGCAGCGAGGCTTGCATGGCCCGAGACTTCCTTGTGCGATCTCGCGACCACCATCCTCAGATATCGCCGCCGAGTATGGGGCAGCAGATGGCCGGCGTCTGGCCGGCTGGGGCAGAGTGAAATGAGAGGCGGCTGTTGATGCCTGACCACGCCCCCAAGTTGCTTACTGTGTATTTGGGTGTTCTTACAAACAGTCTCCAGTGGCGGAGAACACTGAGCCCACCCGATGAGGTCGCCCGAACCTTGAGACAGCTGCGAGATGGTTGGTATTCGACGGGGTGGTCGTCAGCTGGGCGGCCGGTCCCGGTCTGCAAAGTAAGTCACGGACTCTCGGGTCTCACGACGAAACCCGCATCTGCTGATGTTCCCGGTCGAAGGATCGGGCTGAGATCTATGATGATATCAGGGGGTTGGCGGAGAGGGTTCTCGCCTGGCTTGGCCCCCACTCCCTTGGTGAGGTGGCGATGCACATGCGTTGCGTATCCCACTTGCCTTGGGCCGCTCTGAAAGCGACCGCGTTCCTGGATATGACCTATCGGACGGCGACAACGGCGGCCGGAAGGGGCCTGTCTGTGCCCCCTCGCCCTGCAGCTACAAGGCTGTGATATCCTATGGAGTTAAGGGAGCGAGAGATAGGAAGGCTCGCCTATCTTGCCTACATCAATGTGGTAAATCCCGGAGGGTATTCCCGAAACCGGCATGTCGAGCAAAAAGCAAGAAAAGCAAGCTCGCCTCGCTTGAACCGGGGCTTCGTCGATCCCACAGCCGGAGAAGCAATGTCGCGAGATGTAGCCTGACCGCCTAGAACCTCTTGGACCACGGGATGGGGGCCCAGCTAACGCGGACCCTAAGAGGCAGCTTCCGGGCCACGCCCCCCGTAGGCGTGGACTAAACCTTCCTCATTCATACCGGCTGCAGCGGGACCCGACTCCGTGCAGCCGGGAAGCACGTCTTGTGGGGCGGGAGTCTCGATAGAGTGCTTATCCTTTGCTTAGTCTTTTCGGCACACGAGGGCGTTGGAAGTCGGTGGAGAAGTGGCCTGAGCTCGTAGCACGTATATTTCTCTATCGAGATTGAGAGGAGGAGTCGATTCGTTCAGGCGGCCCTTTGCCCGTGGATAGACTACCTTCCCAACGATGGCGACGAATCACGTCGACTCGTAGAATAGTGTGTGTGTGGGGAGGTCGGCAATAAAATGTATCAGGTTTATTCCAACTTAAGGAAGAAGCTGGGCGCGGTTCCGAGTATTCGATCTTGGACATCCTAAGTTTGGACTGTGGGCTCCTTCTGATAGTGGCGCGGTGTGAGCGTGGACCCGGAAACAGACCATGGGCATATTGTTTGTATCTGGAGGAAACAACAAAATAGGAAGGGAAACGAATGAAGACCAAGCTATCGTAAGAAAGGATCACTTTGTATTAAGTAGGTCTTCGCTTGCAAGTCAAAGGGTGGCACGAATCCTCACTTGTCTGATCGGTTGAGAGGGCAGAGTTCGACTTCAAGATGATGTTGCTACATTAGAATTCTCGGGCGACATTTGAAGTTGATCATGGCATACCCATGACAATTCAGTAGTCGTAGAAGCCCTTCCCGCTCTTCTTGCCCAACCAGCCGGCATCCACCATCTTGCCCAACAACACACTTGGTCGGTACTTGCTGTCACCCGTCTCCCCATGCAATACCTTCATGATGGCCAAACATGTGTCCAGCCCGATGAAATCAGCCAACTGCAACGGGCCCATGGGCACATTGGTCCCGTTCTTCATGATGGCATCTATCGAGTCCCGATCACCAACACCTGTCTCCAGGCAGATGACGGCCTCGTTGATGTAGGGCATTAGGATACGGTTGGCCAGGAAGCCAGGCGAATCGGCCGAAACGGACGGGATCTTTCCCATTGCCTTGCAGAAGGCAATGGCGCTGTCGATCGTCTCCTGGCTGGTCTGCAGGCCGCTGATGATCTCGACGCCCTTCTGCACCGGCACGGGGTTCATGAAATGTGTCGAGACCACGCGCGAGCTGGCCGAAAGATCCTTGGGGTCTTTGGTCGTGGCGGCAGCGATGCGTGTGATGGAGATGGAGGATGTATTGGTGGCCAGGATGGCGTGGGATGGGCACACCTGGGCCAGTTTTGAGAATATGTCAAACTTGAGGCTGGGGATCTCCGGCACGGCCTCGATCACGAAATCAACCTCGGACAGAGGGTCGATGGACGTGGAAGGGGAGAGGTTTGAGCGGGCCTGGTAAGCCTGCTCCTGGGTGATGCGTTCCTTGGAGACATCTTTGGCAAGGAGCTTGTCTGAGTGGTACCGTCAGCATGCTACTCGCTCGGCAAGGTACAATATAGATTCAAGAGCTGCACACCTGCGAACTTGAGGCCCTTATCGAGAGATGCTTGAGAAGTATCGACCAAAGTGACGGGCACCTGGGCTCTTTGTGCAGCGACCAGAGCTATTCCGAGGCCCTGATTGCAGGTCAGTTCGGGGGCTCATATGAGGCTATCACATGTCTGCAGCTCGCTCACCATCTGTCCGGCGCCCACAACGCCCAGCCTCTTGACAGGCGTCGATGACGAGCTGTATTGCCTCAATTGAGGCAACACTCTCTGAAATTGGCGTACTCTTGAAGCTGATAATGCCATTTTGTTAGATGGAATATGGGGTGAAGGAATGCGAGGCTGGTTGACGGACAGACGGCCTCGGTATGATGTCGCCCAATACACAATGCCTGGGTATCATAGCCGAGATCCCTGCGGCTATCCTCGGGCTCCATACCTAGCGCTCAGTTACAACTCTTAAGGGTTGGGGTAGACACGCTCCGTTGGGGAGAGGGGGGGGGGCCGCATCCGTCTAAGCAGCTCGACGCGTCCCGTTTTGCCGCGGCGCGTCTCCCAGGAGTTTCCCATTTACGCGCCCCAAAACCAGACCCTGCCCGCCAAAGTCAACACCACCACATCCCGTCTTGGAGGGTTCTGATATTGGCCACTGCTGTGGTTTGGGGGTCAATCCCACAGAACTCGACCATGGAGCCTTCGAATGGCAGAGAAGACGTGGTGCACCCCGAAGTTCGGGCCCATATCAACAGTTTGGTGTCAGCTGCAAGTGACGATACGCCCGACTGCCCCTATAGAGTGCGACAAAGGCTGACCTTGGACTATTACGCAACAGCTCGGAGGCTTCGCCGATGAAGATGATGGCGTCAATTACAGGCTTGGAGACGACGCCCTCGATGTGCTCCGCGACATCAAGAAATGGATTCGATTTTACGACGAGAGGACAAACCGCATGGACGTCGCGAGATGCCTGGCAGACGCAAACTTGGTCAGCGGTGACCTGGTACACATCCTAGCTCTCTGGACCGAGAACTGCAAGGATGAAAGATACAAGTCTCGCATAGCTCTCGCCTGTTACGAACTTTTGGCTCCCTTGACATGGCCAATCGAAAAGAACAAGGAGACCATGACCATCAACCACCACAGACATGTTCCGGTGCTTGAGCTCGCGCAACTGAAATACAAGCGCGACATATTAAACTTCGACGGAGCACAAATACTTCACACAGCAGTGCGCGCTGCTTTGCCCTCTATGGCGATGCCCATCGGCGACAGGACGCAAAGGGATGTCGGGATCATTAAGCTGGTTCTCTACTTCTTGCGAAACATTGCCATGATCATACCTCCTGCTGGGATCAAGTTCGAAGGAGATGAGACTCACATCTCACGGTCGGCCATCATTGACGCATTCTCGTACCAAGACATCTTCCTCACGCTCTTGACATTGGCGTCAAATATGGGCGAAGAGTTCAAGACCGAGGATGTCGTCGTTATGGAGATCATTTTCCACCTCATCAAACGGGTCGACGTCAAAAAGCTCTTCCTTAACGAGCAGGAACTGAGGAAGGCCAAGACAGACGAGCTGTCCGGCGCAATGAAGAAGGAGGCATCCATGTTGCGATCATACAGCCGAAAGGCTCCAACCAGGCACAGTCGCTTTGGCACCATGTTATGGGTTCAGAAGTCGGACGGGAAAGTGTCCTCTCTGTCCGGCCAGGGTGCGCTTGCGGATGTGTCTAGTCGAGAGCGGAAGTTGGACGAGTCCAAGACATTCCGACCTCCAAGACGAGCAGCAAAAGAAGACATGGAGCCAAAGGACCTTGGCCCGCAAGTCATACTGAATGCGCGAGCCAACAACCAGCTATGCGGATTTGTGGAAGTATTCCTGGATTCCGGCTTCAACCCTCTATTTCAGCAGGTGCGCAAGACCCTCGAGAGGGAGGGCGCAGAAGTCATGCAGCACCACGCCCAACAATTCTTCTACACGGTAGCTTGGTTCCTCGAGGCCGAAAGAGCGAGGCAACAGGCCAAGAAGGGCACGAAGTCTTCATCCGATGACCAAGTGAGCAGTTTTCAGCTGGTCGCAGGCGTGTTGAACCAAGAGATGTTTATTGCCCTGAAACGAAACCTTCACAAATCATTCACCGACGGCGACTGGCGAGAGCTGAACGCCGTCATGCGATGCTTCACTCAGATTCTCCTTACAATCCAGGAAATGTTTGCATCAGAGAACGAAGAAGACCAGGAAATTGCGGAGAATGCCCTGAGTCGTTTGTTCTACGAAGAGATCACCCATGATACCATCGTCAATATTGTACGTGCGTACAAGGACCAAGGGTTCGATTATTTGGATGCGTGCACAGAACTTGTCCATACGTATATGCGGGTTCTGGAGGCCTACTCCAAGGAGAATGTAGACATGCAGGTCCGATCCAAGAGGAGAACCCGGAAGAAGAAAAAGGCTGCCGTTGCCGCTTCGCAAGACCAAGAAGCCAATGGCAGTGATGAAGAGGATGCAGGTTCTGCAGACGACCAGGCAGCTGCTGAGAAAACTGCCCAGGAACGCAAGTTCGATTTCAAGAAGTTTGCCAACCGGTTCGTTCCTCAAGGCGTTGTTGACACATTTGTCAAATTCACAAAGTACTACCGCGACCTCGACGACTCGCAGTTGAAGAGGGCTCATCGATATTTCTATCGGCTAGCATTCAAGCAGGACATGAGCGTCATGCTCTTCCGCGTGGACATCATTCACCTACTCTACAACATGGTCAAGGGCCCCGAGCCTCTGGACAAAACTTGCGGGATGTACAAAGACTGGGAGGAATTCGTGAAGCAGGTCCTTCGACGCTGCGTGAAGAAGATCGAGGAGCGCCCAGCATTGATCATTGAGATGTTGTTCTCCAAGATCAACTCCACGGCCTACTACCTTGAGTACGGCTATGATAGACAAGTACTCAGCACTTCCACGCCAAAGCCTGCTGCCGCTCTTGAGTTTCGTCGTCCAGATCTCCCCCTGGCCGAGCAGGTAGCAATTGCTGTTGGCTTGCTGCTAGACAAGAATGAGGCCGACCAAATTGAATGGGTCAAGAATCAGCTGGCAGCCTGCGAGGTCGTGCGCTCTGTCTGGGAAGCAGCCGAGAAAGCTAAGCTCATGGTGGAGGAGCCTGATGGCACAATGGCCTTGACGGAAGACTGGAAGAGCGCAATGGCGGAACCTGAGTTCTTTAGTAAGTTGATCGTCCTCTGTGTTGGCTTTGTTCCAGAAATGCTGACATTAAACCAGCTCTGCGCCCCGAAAATGATGCGCGAAAAACTGCCATATTCAAGAACCCCCGCTTGCGCCTGCTCATGCAGGTCCTTGGATTTGAGCGTCTGTCTTCGGCTCTAGACGAGGAAATTGGTTCACCTTGGACCATACCCTCAAGACATTTTACGGAGGACCTAGCGGAGTATAAAACATTGATCGACAAAGCCGAATTCAACCCTCCACCTTTCGATGACGGCGAAACCGCTGAGGACCAGGTTCGACGCAAGACTGCTGCTCGAAAGAAAGCCGTATATGATGATGACAACGACGACATTGACGACCTCCTTGACGATGGGGATGGGGAACTGTTCCCGGCTAACCTCAAACCCAGCAAACTTGTCGGTCCAGGACATGACCGACCTGCTAAGAAGCGCCGCCTCCGCCGCAAAGCTGATAGCGGGGGCGATGATGACCTTCCGACAGAGGAGGAGGATGAAATACGCGCCGAGAAGGCGCTGAGGCGGCGCAAACGTGATCTCGAGAAACAGCGCAAGATCAAGTCTGCGCTTTACGTCAATCCCAGTGACGACGAGTCGGATGCCGAAGCCGATGCGGAGTTCTTTGCGCGCGAAGAAGCGGTCCGGCAGCGTGTCAAGAAGGCTCTCCAGTTTGCACCAACAGATGTGTCACAACTTCAGGAGGATGAGGTGACGCCACAGGGCATTGCGGACACCATCAAGAGACTGATGGGAGACAGTGATGCCGAAGATGGACAGAGTGACGCAGCCGGCTCGCCACAAAGATCGCAGAGTAGCTCAGGGTCCAGGAAGAGGAAATCCGATGCCCTTATTGAGGACGACCAGCCGAGCAGCCCAGCGACGTCAAAGAGACGTGCTGCCAAGCCCAAGAAAACCAGGGGAGGGTTCCTAGCCGATAGCAGCGATGAGGACGATGACATGAACGACGCTGAGCCGTCGTCCCCGGCCGGTCAGGCCAGTGGTGCTGGCGGGCAGGAGGATGATTCAGACAGCGACCAGATGGAAACAGATGATACACCCTTGTCATCCAACCCCAAGGACTCGAGCAAAGAAGCACGGAGCGGCCAGCGATTTCCGCTTAAAGAGAAAGCGGCCAACGTTTTGGCAGGTCAAGAGTCGGACGATGGAGAGGATGACGATGTGCCGGTGGTCAGTAAGAGACGTCCAAGGGTCAGGGGTGGTTTTGCGATGGACAGCAGCGATGAGGAGTAATGGGCAGGATAGGATGCCTTGCGAGGGAGTTTGGAGTCACGGTTCATACTGCGGAAACGTGGGTTTGGATAATTCAGACGGGCATCACATGTTTTGTTGACTCTGAGTACATACCAAATGAAGGATGTGTTCAACTCTGCGCAATCGACATTACAATTTATGTTCTTCTATGCGGTATATGCTGTTTCAAACCGATGCGGTTGTATGATGGCGAGTGTCTCTCCGGATGCTTATTTACTCCCTGACGTGACCCGTCTACTCATGCCCGTACTTTTCGTCTCAGCAGACCCGCCGTCCCCATTGTCTCTGACAACGGCGCTGCCCCTTCTCCGCATGCCCCTGCTCTCGCCCAGCTCAGCGAGTTCCGCCTCGCTCTTCCTCCGATCAATGCCACCCACGGCATCCCCCTCTCCACCCCTGAACAACCCACCGCCGGTCCCTCCAGACAGGTTCGCGTCAGTGGACGACGACCCGTCGCCCTCCAAGTCCGGCGTCTCGCCGCCATACGTACCACCCACGCTCTCCATGGTAAACGGGCTCGCCGTCGGCGCGTCCAGGATGGCCAGCTCCTGCGGCGTGAACAACCTGGGCAGCAGCAGCGCGCGGGCGGGTATGAGCGCGATGATGAACACGGGGAACCCGACGGCGGCGACGGTCTGCGTGATGGCAAAGGTGGCGCCGAACCCGACGAGCGCGAGCGCGACGAACAGCCAGACGCGCGAGCGGCGGCGGATCCTGCGCAGCGGGCTCGAGGCGGGCGTGAGGGCGCCGTCGCGCAGCAGGAACAGGATCTTGGCCGTGACGCCGTTGCCCTCGAGGGCCTGGTAGCCCATGATGAAGAAGAGGCCGCCAGCACGCCCTGCGGGATCAGGTGCAGCACCACCAGGAGCGGGCCCGTCATGGTCCCGAGGGTCAGGAGGCCCTGCGCCAGGTTGGACACGCGCTGCTCCACCACGTGCGTGCGCCGCAGCTCCCAGCGGCCCTTGCGGTCGCCGCCCTCGTCGTCGTCGGCCGCTGCCGCGCCGCTGGCCTTGCCACCCGCGACGTTGCTGCTGTCGCTGCTGTCGAGGTGCACGACCTTGGTGACGCACAGGGACTCGGTGTGGAAGGGGGCCTGCGGGATGAGGCCGTTGGGGAAGGGGATGCCGAGGATGCCGGCGACGCCGGTGGTGAGCCCGAGCAGGAAGATGTCCCAGTGGAAGCCTGGAGGTTTCCTGAGTGGGAACTCGGTGCCCTGGGCGATGAGGGATGAGACTGTGTGGCTGCGAGTCAGCGATAGAGCCCAGGCAATATCCGAGGAGTCTTGGTATGTAACCTTACCGTTGTGGTCGAACCAGAACAGGATGGTCAGTAGTACCGCAAATGGGACAGCCAGAAACACGTCTGCCACCCTGATGTCCCAGAAGTGGACGAGCCAGCCCCTGTCCTGGGTGGGGAAGAAGGCGTCGCTCGTGGGCAGGCTCTCGAGTGACACCTGCTTCATCCTGCCGATGTGCACGAAGCCGGTGAAGAAGATGACGGTCAATGGGGTACCGTAGTCCTTGAGGAAGACCCTGACGTGGTGATGGAAGAGCGAACTGGCGCCCAGCTGGCCGCAGGCATAGGCGATGAAGAAGACCAGCATGGCGGCCATGACGCTCAGATAGAAGGGCTCGCGGTCTCCCAGCAGGGTGAGGACCTGGACACCCTTCTGGAGGTAGATGAAGGCGACGTAGAAGCCGAAGATGTCGCAGGGGAAGCGGGTGACATAGCGCAGCCAGTTGCACGAATTAGTAGCGGCGAGGATCCAGTGCATGACAAGGGCCCAGAGGCCGATCCAGCACATGAAGGCCAGGTAGTTGACGCCCGTGGGCTCCATGATATCGTAGACGGTGTAGTTGAAGACGGTGATGGGCCCCGTCACGCCGACAATGACGAGCGGCTGGCAGGCGAGCACAGAGAAGACGACTGAGCCGAGTACTGAGGCCAGCAGCACCTCGTTGACGCCATACTGCGAGTGAGTGCGGGTGAACATGTCCAGGGAAAAGGCCAGAGCCGGCAGGATGCTGTTGATGACTTGGTCAGCGTCATTGTTCTCGCTCCTGGGCTTGCTGTCCTGAGCGTTCAAGAAGCAGAACGAGGTCGGCAATGGTAGCGGTTATAATGGCCATGGCCATGAAGAAAACGAGGTGTACCATACTTTGCAAAATACATGTAGACTGTGGCAGGAACCACGCGGTAGTCCAAGGCATCCTTCCAGTCACTCCAGTAGTAAGGGGCCCGGCGGCGCAGGTCGCCGACCATGCCCTTGAACAGGCGGATCTTCCACCATTTTGGAGTGCGAGCAGTCGAGCCGGAGTGAGATCGTGCCGCTGAGTTCCGTGAGACAGTCTGCTTGAGCCCGATGGGCGGCACGTTGGAACTTGGGCCGGTCTGGTCCGGCCCAGTCGCGGCCCCGGCTCCGGCTCCCGATCGGGACCCGGAGGGTGACTTCTCACGGGCGGCGGAGGCGCTGCGTTGAAGCATGGTGGCTGGAGGAAGAGCAAAGACAATGAGATGGGTAAATTCGCTTGAGGCAAGCCGGCTTCGCTAACGGGAACATGTCGAAGTTCAACCTCTCTTCGCGCCGGGATAACTTGCCTTGTCTGGTGTCGACCGCAGAGAGAGAGTCCTCAAAGCCGGTCGTAGGAAGGCTCAGGGGCGTGACTTATAACAAAACACTCAACCGGAGAGACCAGGATTCCAGAAAAAACTGGGGGGGGGGTGACGGCATTCTCAAAAGAGTTAGCGGTGGTTAGCCGGGTAGTGTCCTTTGGCAGACTGGCAGATCTTTTGCAGGAGGAGGGGACCAGTACGGGGATCGCCGCGAATAGAAACTACTCGCCAAGTACACAGCATCATCTGTCATGGTGTCGAGACCTCGCTCGATGAGGTACCTGTACACAGGCCTAAACAGACAGGCCGAAAGGGCAAGGTTCCCGGAATCCAGACAGACTTGGATGCATGACAAGACACACCAGGAAGGCGGCGCGGTGCATCTTTGGACCCCAATACCACCCGATGGCCCAAGTCTGCGGCTCCATTGCCCCTTCCCCACTTGATTACCCACACTGACTCCCGATCGCCCCGTGGCAACCGTTCCGCGCTGCACAGTAAGCATCTCGATGCCGATCTTTAGCCGGCGAACATTCTGCATGCACAAATCCTGCACGCCGTTGTCCTGCATCGTACGTTCTGCCCAGGCAGAAATGCTGCAGAGCCAAAACTGCTTCACTAGTTTCACCAGTACTATTTCAACATGCTCTGACACATCTGCAGCAATATCTACATGTTCGCAGGTGCACAAGAGTTGCAGCTGGGGGTACAGCAAAACGTCGACTTCTCTGCCTGGCACAACAGCAACGATCTAGTCTATTCAAGGAACAGGTATCTGGGGACGCTGTCAGATCACTGAATTCAACGTAGTGGAGAATGCTTGCGAGTAGAAAGGAACCAGTATTCTGCTCTGATCCGTCTTATCATTTACCAGCCATGGCATAACAATATGACCGTTTGGTCGATCCGGCAATCACCTGCCATCGCGCCTCCTCTCATGCGTCCCCACCGGATGCCTTTTCTCCATGACTGACTCCGTCACGCGCTGCTTGGATTCCTGTCAGAGCAGGCGCCCCCACGCCCAGGCCATGGATAACCCCCTGCCTGCTTGTCTGGAGATGGCTCAAGAGCATCAAATGGGGTAGACCCTCACCGCCAATACATCACTCATGGATTCCAATAGTCAGTAACCTGAAGCAGGAAGTGCTGCCTTGAATAGATCCATGTCTCTCGACAGAAGACTTGAGGGGGGGAGGGGATTAACCCCGACAGGCACGCTCTGACCCATCCCTCTGTCAAGACTGGAATCTCATCTCGTGCTGCAATCATCTCGAAGGCAAGCGCGGCGACGGTCCGTGAGAGTCACTGTAGCAATTTGCATGACGGGCACACCAGCCTGTCTTGTCCTCTGCCTCAACAATTGATTAGGCTCGCTTCGGGCCCTGTCTCGATTCCGCTCTCTTCTTGGTGATCTTCTCCAATGTATTATTACCATGCCATGGCATCGGGGCGTCTTTTCTCCCCGAAATCTTATACATCACTTTCCATATTGTTCCCAGAATTGTGCAGAGTCGTCATGGGCTGGACGCTTCCGAACTCTGGGCGCTGGCCCTGTCCACGTGTGACTACATTCTGTCCTTCGGTCAGATTGAACATCTGAGGGCTTTCTCGACAGGACCAAACGGGAAATTGTCATGAATGACAAACCCATGAAGCACGAGGTCTTCTCATACCACACGAGACAAGTTCTTTCTGATTCAAAGCACGGGGCCTGGGCAGTATCGATTTCGTAGGAGAAGGGTTGCGTTCTAGAATCGTTCCGGCCTTCTCGGCGTTTCGTGTCGACGTCTCATTCACTGCCAAACAATTGCTGCCCCAGGCCGATCAAGGCTGTTATAAGAGCATGTGGAATTTACCGCTGCAAAATGGCTCTAATAGGCTATGTAAAATTATACACAGGAAGGATGAAGAGGCACGGCTAGGTACGCCGAGCAAAGGGTACCCAAAGAAAGGAGAGTGTCCCCTGTAGGGACCGACAGCACGGAGGGCCGCTTGTTCATTTCTCTTCTTCTTCTCTTACTTTTCCTTTCCCCTGTTTCAATCATTCCTGCGTCTGGCGCACAGCTCTCATAAAGATACTCGCGTAGACGCGTGTGGCCACGCGAACCCGTGTCTGTGTCGCAAACTTTGCGGCGAAGAATGAAAGCGGCATCATTGCCCATCATTGATGGCATCGTCACCGCCGAAGCCGCAACTCATATCTGACTCCTCACTGCTCCTCTTTAAGATGGCGGGATGGCCAGAAAATCTTTCCCTGAATCAGGTCTCACCATCATGAGACATACAACGGTCGAAATCCTCCGGCCTCCCCCAGGAGCTTGACGCCATTACAGCCTACGTGGCGAGGTAGATCCCATCTGGGGGGCCGACTCGAGCATTCATCGACGAGCATGGACACGTCAGCACACACAACTGCTTCGAGGATATTGGCAACGATAAAATTGGTCAACGGCGGCCAATGTCCACCGGAAAGAGCCTCACAACTACCGTCAAATGACCCGCCTCCCTTGGGTTTCCTTGGCTCACAATACGGCGTGGCCGAGATAGTTTGAGTGTTGGGCGCCAACCTTCCGGTAAACTCCACCTCCGGCCACCATTATTACTCCCATGGAACCTTGAATGAGTATCTTTGGAATTCTTCAGCGGGCGGTTGTGGGGGCCACATGCCTATGCCTCCCTTTTTTTTTTTTTTTTTTTTTTTTTGGCAGAGCTCTCCCTTTGGGGCTGTGGGAATAGTGGGTAAGGTGAGACATTGCGGATGGAGCGCGTGTTACCGCCGCTTTACGCGAATAAAAAGTCATGGCCTTCCCGCGCTTTCATTTTTCAACGTTCAAATTCAACGGCTGGGTCTGTGAAAGACGACATCACTTGAGCTAGCACTCACTGCCAGTGCAAATGTAGTCCGTGATTTCATTGATCCCAAACTTCAGAGATTCGGTCGACACGTGCTCAGAGCCAGAAAAAGCAAATGTTTGGTTCACTTGCACAACAAACAAGTACTCCTTGGCTTTTGGACTCGACAGCGACAGTGGATGGGGTGTGGAACACTTGAAAGTTCTGGATATGGATGACCGTGTGGTATGGACACAAATAATAGTACGACATGGGGGTTTCAAAAAACCAATGACATATTGGACCCCAACGAAAGCACGTCTTTCATCGTATTCTATCAACATTGTCATTTAAAATAATGATCCTGTAAATGTGTTCCGGGAAAGGTCTTCACGGAATACATATCATGGTATTTCGCAACATTGAACGAACAGCATACGGCTCCTATCCCCTTGGTATGTTACCAGCCAAACCCCCAATAGCTTGATGATTCTACAGCAGTGCCTCCAGCAAATTAGCAACCCAGCCTCGCCGGTCTCTCGCTGTCTCTGTCATAGCCGCCATTGCTCCGAGTAGCCGGTGCTAGTGTGGGATCAGTCTCACGAGAAACAGTAAGAATGGTGATCTGCATATTCAGGAAGAGGCTCTGGGTCGCGTATCCTGGGAGAAACATTGGCAGGGGCGAGACTTTCCATCTAGGGAGAAGTTGTCTAGAACGCGGAGAGCCGGCAATATCAAGCCCCTCCTCTTCTCACTCTCCCTTCCAGGCCGTTGAATGGGAGAATGCTCTCTTTAAGTAGAAGACCCCCTCCGCAATACACAGCCAGCCTGCATACCCTGACCTGCGCAACCGCCTTCAGCAAACCACCCACCCAACCCAACCGCTCACACGACAATGGGCCGGGCTCAGGGCGATCACGATGAGGAGGCGGTCCCCTTGACGTCGGCGGAGTGGCTCACGGGGAGGCCCCGGATCCAGAGCGAGAAGCCGTCGCGCCTCCAGTGGTCGCGCATCCAGTGGTCGCGCATCCAGTGGTCGCGGATGGCGTGGAGCATGGTGCCGTGGGTCATCGCCGCGCCGCTGGGCAAGACGGAGCGCACGCTGCCCAAGGTGACGTCGACGTCGTACCTCAACGGGCTCCGCGGCGTGGCGTGCGTGGTCGTGTACAACTACCACGTCACGATCGGGTGGTATCCGGACCTCAAGGGCACCCTCGGCCTCGTGCCCTTTGCCAACTTCGTGCTGGCCGGCCACGGCGCCACCATGATCTTCTTCGTGCTCTCGGGCTTCGTCCTGGCCTACTCGCCGCTGTCCAAGATGTCCTCCCCCGCGGGGACGTCCGACGCGGTCGACTCGGCCCTCCTCACCTCGCTCTGGTCCTCCACCATCCGCCGCGGATTCCGCCTCTTCACGCCGCTGGTGGGGCTCGCCCTCCTGCTGTCCGTCATCACCTTCTTCTCGCCCATCCACGGGAATGCGCCGGGCCTGGAGTGGGCGCAGGCCAGCCCCAAGACGCTCGGCACGTACTTGCACCACCTGTACAGCTACTCCCAGATGGTCTCGTACCTCATGGACCCCTTCACCTGGTCCATCATCCAGCCATCCTCCCTCGAGCACGCCTGGACCCTGCCCTTCGAGTACCGCGGCTCCCTCGTCGTCTTCCTCCTGTGCGTCGCCTGCGCCCGCCTGACCCCGCGGTGCCGCAAGGTCTTCCTCGTCGCCTTCGCCCTGTGGGCCCTGCACTGGATCCGCTGGGACGTCTTCTGCTTCACCGCGGGCATGTTCCTCGCCGAGCTGCGCTTCCGCCCGCTGTTCCCCTCCTCTTCCTCCTCTTCCTCCTCAGGCCCGAAGCCCGAGCCGCTCCCGCATTCAACAACGGCCGACAACCTGACGCCGCGCCGGCCCTGGGATAGATTCATCCAATCCTTCCCCCTCCGCCCAGCCATCGGCCTCCTGGCCCTCGGCCCGTCCGTCATCGTCTGCGCGTGGCCCGACGGGGGCGGCGTGCTGGGCGTCGAGCCCTACGCGACCCTCCACGTGGCCTTCACCCCAGGCCACTACGGCGGCGTCGACGTCGACTTCTTGTACGCGAGCGTGGGCGCCGTGGCGGTGCTGGCCTCGCTCGAGGCGCTGCCCCCGCTCCAGTGGCTGCTCTCCACCGCGCCCTTCCGGTACCTGGGCGAGATCAGCTTCTCCTTCTACCTGCTGCACATACTGCTCATCAACACCACCAGCGCCCACATCATATTCTTCCTGACCCAGATGTGCGGCTGGGGCTACGGGTTCGCCTTCGCGCTCATGTGGGTCGTCACGGCCTCCGGGACCGTCCTCGCGGCCGACTTGTTCTGGAGGGGCGTGGACGAGACCAGTGTCCGTATGAGCAGGAAGATCAGTGACTGGCTGATTGCGAAGCCGAGGGATGCTGAGATAGCGTACCATGCGCTGTAGGAAGGTTGATGTTTCGTGGGAATGGGAGTTCCATATTGCATCCGATTTGATCCAAAGACTCAGCTGTTGCAATTTGTACATGGCAATTTCCTGTCATGCGAAGCCATTGCCTTGCATTCCGGGAGTCCTCAATACCTGCTTGTACTTTTCTTCGTCACTCATAATCCAGCCATCTTCTCGTTTTGTGTGGTGACAGGCTGAAGTTCAAGGACATGTACATTCGTGAAAACACTTTTGCAGGCGAAGAGCCTAAAGCCGAGCCGAGCCCATCTAGGATGACTTCGTATTGTCAAGTCCCTGCATTAGTAGTACTGGGGCCGCACTTTGGGCACCGGTGCAGCGGGCAAATCCGCAGAAAGTAAAGATGTTGGTCATCACACCACCTGGTCACAGATAGAGAGTGCGTCCGGTTTGGGTGGGGGGGGGGGGGGACGAAGGGAAAGATTAGTGTAAGCACAAAGGCCCCTCCCTGTCGGCTTTCTAGAGACATATGCACTCCAACCAAGCCTCAACCTCCGCTGGCACGTTCCGCTTGTCTTTGAATCGCTTTTATGATCCTGAACATCTAGAGCAGTACAGGACATCATGCATCTAAATACCACCCCGCTGGACCAGCTTCCCGCGCGGCCTGACCAATAAAGTATGTCCGTTATTTGTACAAATCCAAGGCCCCCCGGTGCCATTATACCCATGGTACATCCGGAGCCTTGTGGCCCGGGAGGACGCTCGGGCCGTATTTCCCTTTAAGAGTAGAGTAGAGTTGTAATCGACAGCAGCCCCTTTGCTCCCAAAAAAAAGAGAAGAGACCTTATTGCCACCGCTGGAAAGCGGGTGACGGGGCTGGCGGGTCGTCCAGGGTCTCGGTCCCACCCTCGGATGGAGGCGGCGGCGGAGCGCTCTTAGTCCCGTCGAAGTACTTGGTGAATTCCTCCTTGTCCTTGAAAGGCCGCGGGCCAAGAAGCCTCACCATGTCGTCCCGGGTGAGCATCTCCCGCTTCAGTAGCTCCTCCGCCACGATGCCGACCTCCTTTTGCTTCTCCGTCAGCAGGTCCTTGCACTGCTTGTACGCGGCGTCCACGATGCGCTTGACCTCGGCGTCGATCTGCTGCGCCGTGTTCTCCGCGAACGGCTTGTTGAACTGGTTCTGGTCCTGGTCGAAGTGGATGGGGCCCAGCTTGTCCGACATGCCCCAGCGAGTCACCATGTTGGTGGCCATCGCCGTCACCTTCTTAAAGTCGTCGCTTGCTCCGGTTGTGACGGTTGTGAAGTTGAGCTCCTCCGAGATGCGACCGCCCAGTGTCATGGCCATGCGATCCATTAATTGTTTCGTGTTCATCAGGTAGGCATCTCCACTGGGAAGGTATTGCGCATAGCCCAGAGCGCCCTGACCGCGGGGAATGATGGACACCTTGAGCAGGGGGTCGGCGTATTCGAAGAACCAGCCACAGATGGCGTGTCCAGCTTCATGATATGCCACGGTCTTCTTCTCCTCAGGGCCGAGGACAAGTGACTTCCGCTCCAGACCTCCGATGGTACGCTCAATGGCCTGCTCAAAATGGATCATCTCAATGCTCTCAGCGTTTGCTCTTGCGGCTATACACAAAAGTCAAGTCAGCTTCACATGAGCAGTAATTGGCGTGATAGGTAGACTTACCGACGAGGGCGGCTTCGTTGACGGCATTGGCGATGTCAGCGCCAGAGAAGCCTGGTGTCAGAGCAGCGAGCCTTCCGGAAAGATGCTCCATTTCCTCCTTGGTGACGACATTGGCAAGATGCACCTTGAAGATATCCGCACGTCCCTTCATCGTCGGCCTGTCGATGTAGATCTGTCTGTCGAAACGACCAGGTCTCATCAGGGCCTTGTCAAGAACGTCCGGCCTGTTTGTTCCCGCAAGAACCACGACCTGCTCCTGCGTGTTGAAGCCATCCATTTCCGTCAGAATCTGGTTCAGGGTTGCCTCGCGCTCTTCGTTTCCACCGAAGTTGCGGTTCCCGTCAGCTCGAGATCGACCAATGGCATCAATCTCATCAATGAAAACAATGCAAGGGGCGTTCTTGCGTGCTTGCGCGAACAGATCCCGCACTCTCGAGGCACCGACACCGACAAACATTTCCACGAACTCGGATCCACTGACGCTGAAGAACGGCACCCCTGATTCACCAGCGGTGGCCTTTGCGAGCAGTGTCTTACCAGTTCCAGGGGGGCCAGACAAGATGGCACCGCGAGGGATCTTTGCGCCTAGCCTCTGGAACCGCTCCGGCTTCTTCAGGAAAGAGACGAATTCCATAATCTCGACCTTGGCCTCGTCCATGCCGGCGATGTCGGCGAATTTGACCTTGACGGCGCTCTCGTGGTTATACATCTTGGCCTTGCTCTTGCCGAAGCCAAACATGCCGCCTCCAGCGCCGCCGCCGCCGCCAGGACCTCTCCTCATGGTGTAGTAGATCAGGCCAACAATGAGCACGTGGGGCCAAAGGCTAGGAGTAGGTTGGCGAGCTGGCCCGCTTCTGCGTATGTGACCGGAATACTCTCGGTGGCGGGAATGCCGAGTTCCTTTTGGGCCTCGTCAAGATGCCTCTCAAAGGTCTCGACAGAGCCAATGGACACGTAGAAGTGGAAGCCGGGGTTCGCTGCGACACTGTCGGGGTACATGGACCTGGTGGCCTCCTGGTTCAGATCCACCCTCACCCTGCTGCTGTTGTAGACCACGAGCCTCTCGACAAGACCCTTGTCCAGATAGTTCTTGCGAAGCTCCTGCCAGCTTATGTCTCGGGATTCGCTGGGGAATATCATGCTCCAGACGGGGTAGAAAAGCGCGGCTGTCACGACCCAAGCCAGTATATCGCCACCGTCGAATGCTTTGGGCTGGCTCTTGTCGTTCCTCGGGTTCTGCTTCTGGCCCTGACTCCGCTGCTCATTTTGGTTCTGGTTGTTGTGCTCGTTGCGCGGGCCTTCGTTGTGGTTGAAGAATGGGGAGTCGCTGTCGTCGAGGCCATCGGGACCCCTGGCCATCCTTGTCGCTAGCTTGTGGGCTATTTTGATGACCTTCATAGAGTCTGCGAGGGTGAGCCCGGTTGTTCGCCCCTTTTCCAACAGATCCTTGAGCTCCTGGGGCGCTCCGTTTGACTTGACCTCGTTCTCCACGTCTGCGAATGTCTGCCTATGTCTTGCAGGCACCATATCGCCCATCTTTTTGAGCATCACCAAGTCTTCCTCGTTCAGCCATACCCAGCCGTCGGGGAGCTTTGGAGGCTCCTTCGGTTCCCCAGGCGTGGTCTCCTCGGCATTTTTGTGCTCGTCCTTGGCCTCGTCCTTGGGCTTCTCGGGTGGTGGCGGGCCGGTCGAGTAGAAACGAGGGCGAGGGAGGAGGTAGGCTGCGGATGACGATGACGGTGCTATTCTCGGTATTCTGGCGCCGCACACTGATTGTGGAAGATGTGCGCAGGGACGAGAGCGCCAGGCGGGCGACCTGGCGCGATGCCGGCCGTAATAACGTAGTCATGCTTTGGGTGAGGCCGGAATGTGTGGGTTGGGAGGTGGAAGAAGGGAGGTGCACGGAGGTGTGAGCTGGAAGGTGGCGGCGGGATGGATGACTGGATGGGGTGGTCGGGTCGAGCCAAAACCCCACGCAATTCGTCGTATGACGACGGAATGCACACACGGACGCCTTGCTACCTCGACACGGTCGCGAAAGGAATTGGTGCCGCCGAGTCGTACTCCAGTAGCTCAGCTCCAGCCGGTCTTGTTGTCGTGGTGGTCCAGCAAGGTCGGGAGGTTCCTGTGCAAAGGGTAACTAGGTACCTAGGTAGTGATTACGTGCAGTCGTCACGTTTTGCGCCTGGCCTCCGGCTGGCTGGCTCAATGATGCTAACATGCTCAGGCTCCCCGGAGCTACCACCAGTTGGGCTGACAAATGAGCCCGAACACCCAGGGTTTAACCCCCGTTCCTCCATCTATTCTGCCCTCCCTGGCTGGTGGCACTCACGAATCATACCCCACGACTTGTTATCTGCCCAAAGGTTAGACCCTTCGCTGTGTAGAACAGATGTTTCACGTAAATCGTTCGCATGGTGAAGTCCACAAAAGCTACGGTACCGTGGGCACTCTTATCACTTTAGTGAAGAACTGTCCAGTAGAAAATTGCAACTTGTTGCTTTCATAACGTTCTTGGTCCCCCATGACGAGGTTATCTAGTTGGCCAACGCACGTAAACCATACCCTATGGTGAATTAGATGAAAGAAATGCTCGCCCAACCTCCCTCAACGCACAGAGGCAGCAGGCACAATACAGATGAGTATCAAGCCGATCTTGTCGCCTTGGTCGCATGTACACCGTGTGGTGGCAGATCCCTCCAGTCTCAAACCGACAGGTCCGAACCACGCTTTCCACTGGTCGGCGTCACAGAGCCGTGACAAAATCTATAGCTCTGAGGGCTGAACCTGGACCTGCCAGCCTTATCGTGGCTCCCCAAAGTTACCATTTTCCACACTCGGATACGCGCCTCCACTCATTTCCGCCCAGTCCCAGTCGAAACTCATGGGCAGCGCGTACAGGTCTTGCGGTATCAGTGGTTGCTGGAACCCAGCCCCTTGAGCTGGTGGCGACTGCAGCGGTGGCGGGGGGCCGTTGTGAAGCTGCCCAAATCCAGTCAGCTCAGCAAAGGATGTGAATTCCATGGGATCGCCCCCAGAAAAGTCTGGCGTCCATCCAGGTGGTGGGTGGCCCGGCGAGGGGCTGTGGCTCGACGCTGTCATGGGGCTGAAGGCCTGCCCATCAGTACGTGCTGGCGGTGACAAGGTCTCGTTGTGCGATTGCCGCGGCGTGGGCGTATTCGCGCTAGCCGTTGGCGGCCTGGGTGTTTGTGCCGATGAAGAAGACCCGTGATTCGAAGTTGATGCCCGCCGGATTGGATTCGCGTTGGTGTTGGTTGTGGGCTTGTTGGCCTGTGAGGATTCGGCGTTCTTGCGCTTCCTGCGCCCGGCGTTCTCTTTCTCGGCCTTTTCGATCATGACTTTGCTGATTCGCTCAAACTCGGAACAAATACCGATAGTGCGGTGCACTCCACCCGTCTCGATCTCCTGCCCTAGTGCGGACAGGAAGGTAACAACCATGTTCAACAGCCGTGTATCTGACCTCGCTCGGGGATCAAGGGGATTTTGCAAAATGTTTCCGAAGAGTGTGACGAGCGCAGTCACAGGGAAGTACAGTACCATCCTGGACTAATTAGCTTATTGCCTAGGGTGGATTGGATGTTTTACAGCACTCACCAGACTACAGATGAATCTCCTTGGGGGACATATTTAAGCAGTGAAATGGATGCTCTCGCTGCCGAGGTGCATAGGGCAGCCGAGTTGAAGACCCTTGGGTTCAGGGGTTTGGCATTGAGCCCCTGTATAGCGTAGTTCGACAGACGACTCGTCCAATAACCACGGTGTATCGACATCCGGTGTATCGTTGTGAGGCAGTTGTAGTAGGTGAAATGGAGCATGACAACGTGCAGTATGAGAGGCGTATGTGACGCCTGAATCTCATGCTCGGGTCGATATTCGATAGGCATCCTGTCCTTCCAATCTTCTAGTTCCTGGTCCAGCTCTCCAATGGTCTGCAAAAGTTCACCGTCCGTCTGCTTCGTCGCCTTGGTTGCATAGAGTCTCTTGTAGACCTTGCTTTCGATGAGAGCCAACTCACACATCACTCGGAAGAGGTTCATCTTGCCCTTGCCATCTGCCAGTGGGATGTTGCCGATGTTATCCTCAGGATCTGTGTCCGGGAGTTCCACGTTCATATCGTCGTCATCCTGTGCAAAGGGCCGGCCGGACCGGATGCAAAGGTCCTTGTCCAGCATGTACGCGATCCAGAAGACTCTCTTCCTCTGCTCAATTTCGATGGGATTCAAGTTGAAACCTGTGCCGCGCTTGTGCAGTCCAATGTTGTGGGATAGGCGTATAGCGGTACCTATCAGAAGTGAGGATGGCTGCGGATTAGGGGTGCCTTGCATGAATAAGGCCATGCCCAAGAGGGCCTGGACACTCAACAGGTCGGTGTTGCGCATCACCAACTCTGCAAAGCAGGCCATTGCATTCTTCATGTACCCCCATGCCTTCGCGTCCTCCTCGTGCGGGACCAGGTTGCTCATCACTCGCAAGCGGTGAGCAATGGCGAGGGCAACGTTGAGGCTGGCCCACCACCCAGAGCCCGAGTACGGATCCTTGGAATACTGCCTCTCGACCAGGTGCATGAACGTGGGCCGGTGAAACAGCGGGAACATGCAATTGAAATTATCGAAGTAGTCCTGCAGCAGCGAGACGCACTCATGCTTCGGTGGGAGTGGAAGGAAGACGGGGCGCTGGAACAGGTCGCCGAAGACCTCGGGTTTCCAGTTGTTCCATTTGTGGTCGTCCATGGAGACATGAGAAATCATCTGCTGGAAGGATTTGTCTCCCGTCTTCTCGTTGACCCACTGAATTCCCTTGGGCGAGAAGATGGAGAAGCCAGAGGAAGAACCTGTATTACGGAATCAGACACAAACGGGGGCGACAGGAAGGGATGAGTGCTTTGGCTTACCAATGTATCTGGTCTCGCCAGATGTGTTGGTGACAAGGGAGCACATCATCTCAGAAAGAGCCTCGACCTCCTCCTCCTGGCCCTGTTCTTGCTGCTGCTGCGGCTGTTGTTGCTGCTGCTGCTGCTTGCTGCCATCGATCGATTTGCGCTTCTCATCATCCTTAGGGGGCTCAGGGGAGGTGAGTGCGCTCCTGGGGGTCGATGCGCCAGTGTCCTGCACGGAGGTTGCCTGTGATGGCGAGGTCGGGTTAGACGGAGCTGCCTGCGAAGCCTGTCTTGACTCTTGTCTCTTCTCGGCAAGCTTCTTTTCGAGTGTTCCCAGGTCAGTAGCGCCATCGTCCTCACCAAGAAGACCTGCCCGGGATGGTCAGTGCGCGACTGCACATGTCTGGCCTGCCGGCAACAACCGGAACAACCGGATGCCGCGGTGAGGCCGTCTGGGAGCAACAGGGGAAACAAGGCGTACCTGACAGACGCAGCAGACTCTCCATGCGACCAAGGCGGTTCTCGAGGCCCTCGATATACTTCGCACTATCGAGTTGTCAGCTGGAGGTGTCTCTGGCGGTGGCGGCACAGACTGCCGGGTGCTGCAGGACGAGCACTCACCCTTTGGGCGGGTTGCGCTTCTTCTCGACCTGGGTGAAGACACATTCGGTCTTGTAGTTGATGCAATGTGTGCATGCTGGCAGCTTTCCGTCGCACTTGATCTTCTTCTTCCGGCACATGTCGCAAGCCTGTGGGAGAGGAGTCAGCCTGGCGTGCGTGACTGGTGACAGGGCGCGGTGCCGTCGCGGGCACGGGGGCAGTACTCACCCGTGCGATCCTCCTCCTCTTTGCCTCGTTTGCGTCGTCGAGCAGTCCATTGGGGTCTCCGAACATCTGGGCCGTGAGCTCCGGAGGCAGGTGCTGCATTGGCAAACCATCGTAGGCATGGGCGCCGAAAATCTGAGGAGGTTGGTTCATAAGCGGCGGATGCGCCATGGCGGGCATCTGGAAGCCACCCATATGGTGATCCATGGTGATGTCGAAGCCCAAATTTACTTTGACTGGCGGGGACTGGATGGGCCGGGGCTGCGGCTGGTACAGAGAATGGGGCTGGGCCTGGGATCGGGTGCGGCTTTTCTGCGCTGGTATGGGCCTAGGAGGGCTGCGTGGTCCTCGTCGGGAGTTGAAGATTGGGAAGCTCGAGTATTCGTGTTCGAGATATTGGTGCACGAGACCACGGGCTCGGGCGTGCAGTTAGTTGAGGTGGTAGGAAGAGAAGAAGGCCGCTGTCAGGTTGGGTGGTGATCAGTCAATGAATGGTCCGGACCGCTGTTGCAGGTGGATGCAGTGTGTGGGCGTGCGCGGGTGCGGGTGGGTGTGGTGTAAGTGGCAGCTCTCCAGCGGCCGGGAAGAACGTAAGACGGCGGGGCAGTGGGTACTTAGACTTGTTGCAGGTCTCGCCAAGCCCACCAGTCGCAGCGACCTTGGGGATCCCCTCCAAGCTGCCGGGGTACCAGGGTTGGTCTGCTGAAGCAGAGCAGGTATGTACCTGCCTACCTAGTCCTCCTACCGAGACCTGTCGCCTGCCTACCTACCGCACTGCCTGACTAGACCTCCAGCCTGCAAGCTGCCCGGTCCGCTGTCTGGGTACCCACAGTGCCTACGCAGGGGCTCAAGGGCAGGGTCGCAGGTTGCAGGGGAGCGCTGATCCTAGGAGTCGAGCCTGTGCGCCGACGCAATACTGCGTGCGTATTGTTGAGATCGGCCACGGTCCAAGGTTGGCACATTACAAACCCAACCAGCCTCCCGCCAACCTTTCGAGGGTGGTTGTCTGCTAGTCAAGTCCAGTCAAGTCAGGCCAAGCCAGGTCGGATCAAGCCAGATCAAGCCCAGTCAACCGGCCCTGTCAGCCCAGAGACAGACAGACAGATGTGTAGATGCAGAATGCAGATGCAGGGGTCATGGACATGGGCCTGGCCGTGTCCCTCTCACACGCGCCAGGGCGGCCGTCTCAAGTGATGCTCACCACACCACCTACCACCCCCTCTCGCCCAAAAAAAGAAGTCGGCAAGAGAGAGGCAGCCCCGAATACACTGTACACGCATATGCTCTGCAGGTGCTGAGAGTTTGGGTACGGTGGGTGTTCCGACGAATTGGGAGAGCCGGACTTCGGTCTTCAACTGGGTTTGGTGGACGTCAATGCCGTCCTTCTTAGGATCTACTGCTATTCTTTGCTGTCACCCTGAAGCTCTGCATGCTGACAATTCCCCAGCAGTTGAGTTCGGCGGGAGCAGAGCGAGAGCGCGTCATTTTTGCTTTTGATACACTGCGGCATCCCTGCCCCTCTTCCTTTGTTGTGTACCTCATGTGCTTGTCAGGCGTGGCACTTGACGCCCGTGATAGCGATGGCAGACGGCAACGCCCAGGGCTAGCTTGGGTTTTAGGTTTTCTTAGGTTGCGGCAACGGCACTTAGTCCATGTGGGATAGATGCTTCCAAGGTTGTCCCGTACGCACATGATGTGGCTTACAAACCACAACCAGCCCATCTAGGTGCCAGGTCATGTACGTAGTGCTGTCGACGTCGACACCATCTCCCGATGCGAGTTAGGCTGCCCTTTGGTGCTGGGCACGAGGTGTGACGGGACATGTCACCGTAGCTTGGCCTGCAAGTGCAGCGCAGCATCGTCAGACGCAACAGGTTGCCCTCTCGCCGCCATCCCGAAACCACCAGGCGCAAAAAAAGGCGTGGAGGATTGGGGGGGGGGGAGATATGAAGCCTGTCACAACACACAGACGTCGGCGACACCGCTGCCCAGCCTGTCGAAGGCTTTGCTGCTGTCTGATTCTATTCTTCACCTCACTCTCACACTCGCCCTCTGCCATCCGTCACACTCGCGCGGTAAGCTTCTGGCCTGCATGAACTGGGTTCGTGCACTTGTCACCTCGAACAGCTAAGCGGCAGCTAGCTGCCTGTCTTCCGGCTCACTGTATGTCTCCACGAGGCGCAGGCCCGTCGGGTTTCGTTGGTTGCATTACACGCGGGCCCGTCTATGACGCCGCATGATGTCTGATGATGACAGAGATGCCAGGCTGTCTCAGCGCAACGTAGGTGACTGTCGCGCCTGGAGTGGCTATGGTCTTGGTCTTAGTCCTGATAAGTCTCCTACAGTGTAGACAGGCTAGGCCATCTCTTATTTCGGCCGACAGTCACACAGAGGTTTATGACGGGCAGTCTGCCGAGGTGCGAGGCTCAATCCGTGGCACGACATGACGGCCATGTTGCCCATGTGCGTGCCGTACCCACAACGGCTCGACACGGCGGGCTACCAGACGATAATTAAGGACGACGATCCCGAGTCTCCCGTCCGTACCAAGACAAGACTTCTGACACGGGAGGCGCACCCGAGTGGGAGCAGGGTAGTGAATCTCGGTGGCCCCCGCTGCCGGCCCCCGACTCTGTCCTGTGCCAAGCTGCATGCAACGACAGCTTTCCTCACCATCTATCTAAATTTGCCCTGTGTTCTATCTCCACCACACAGTCTCTTGCCTGTGCTTTTTGTGTGTTCTCAGGTGGCTTGGCTCAATCAACAGAGGCACCTCACACGGACTGCGCGCAACCCTCTTTTTTCTTCATCGTGACGACAACCCAACGCTCCCAACCCCGAGACCAGCGCCAACATCAGCGATTCATTGCCCTTCGTCCCAGAGTTCACACCCTCCATGACGCAAAAGTCCAGATGTAAGCTGCAGGTACCACGCAACCTTAAATCTCGGCTGTGGTCATACCCACCCTTGCCCGGTCGTTGAAAACCTGTGTAGACTATGCGTTGCGGTGCGGTGTACGCTACAGGGTGACAGGCGAGGCTCCGCTTTTGAAGTATACACACTGTAGAGTCCTGCGTGCTATGAGGCTCCCGCCTCCCCCCTCCCCCAGACTGGGGCTCACAAAGATGCCGCTGTCTGTCTTAAACGAAGTAATGCCCCCCCCTTGTCGTTTTGGTTAGCTATTCCCCCCTGCATTAAAATTTGGCTGTAAACGTGGAATACGCACTAAGATTTTCATAGATACCCTTATTAATATTACTTAATGCACTTAATTTAGCAAAAGAAAGATTATTACAATAAGTAGCCACTATTTATTAAGCATAAAATTGTAAATATTGCAATTTTATTTACGCTTAAACTTATTACCATTAAATAAATAGCTATAAGCTAAATTTTAATATAATAAGGCAATAATTTAATAATATTAAAAAAGGGTTATAATTATAAATATTATAATACTAAGCATGCCCTTATTATTACCATTAAATGCCGTTAAATTAAAGCAATAAGCTTTAAAAGTATATAATATTCTTTAATATAACAGGCCCTTTAAGCATTATTAATACCCTTTCATTGCTATATAAAAGCTTAAAGATTTTCTCCTTAATAAGCTAAATATATACCTTAATAAAATGCAATGCTTTCTTACCAAAACATGCTAAATTAACTACTTAATAAAAACCATTATAAGAACCCTTAAGGCATATAATTAAACCAATAAGCAGGTATATATATTAGCTTAGCAATATAATAAAAACCTTTAAAGCTATTACTTTTTTAAGATTTTTAAATTATAATATATCATTAAAATATTTATCTTTTATAATAAATTAAAACTTAATAAATATAATAACGTAAAAAGAATAAGCTAGGCATTATTAAGGTATACTCTTTAAGTTAAAAGTCTTCTTAAGTAAGGCGCTTACTTTTATTTACTGTTAATAATTATAATTAGCGATCTTCTTAATATTATAATATATAAGGGGTATATAATAAAGAAGTTTTTCTTAATATAGCTTTTTAAGAAGGTTTTCCCTTAAATAAATGCTTATTTAAGCCCTTAATTAATCCTTATAATAAATAATGCCTTATAGCATTATAATTACGCTATTTACATAGCTATTAAAATAAAGAGTATTTAGCTAGTATATTTACCGCCATATTCCTTTAATTTTAACTTAATTAAAGCATATTTTAAGGATTTAAAAAAGTATATTTATTATTAATATTAATATAAGATAAATAACTATAATAATAATAAAAAATTTATAAATTTTTTATACTTAAGCACTTTAAAGGTTGGCTAATATATAAAGGTAATTAAAGAATATTTTTATTATATGCATATATTAAAGAAGAGATTTAAAGATAATAATGGCAATAAAGGGCAATAAAAATGCTATATAATTAAAAGAAGGGTAAAAGAAGCAGCGTTAATAAGAAGAAAAAAGTATTATAATAAGGTTATTTATAATAAGTTTTTTAATAATAAGAAAGTTAGTAAAAAAAAAGTATTATTAAAGTAGTTAAAGAGAAATAACTAATAATTTATTATAAAAGATATACTTAATTTTCTTAATTAACTCTTTAAATACTTAAATAAACACTCTTTTTTTATATATAACCACTTTATTAACTCTTTTACCAACTATATTATTCTTTCTCTTATAAACAATATTAATTAAACGCTTAAAATTTATTAAAAAACGCCTTAAATTTACTCTTTAATATTAATGCATTATTAGCTAATATTAAGGGGCTTTTTGCTTGCTAAAAATCATAATTTTCATCCTATATTAACATTAATAGCAGCAACAAGCCCTCCTTTTTCTTATCGCTCTTAAAAAGCCCAAAAAAGTCCTCCCTTTCCTTTAAATATAGCTTTATAAGCCTTTTAACTAATTTAACACCATTTAAGCCCTTTTCATTAAACTAAATATCCTTCTTTAAGTATAAAGCTTAAAGATTAATGCCTTTACGCTTTATAACCTTTTATAACTCTATTAATTACTTCTTCTTTATTAATATATAAAAATGCTTTTATAAGGCCTTAAATATAAAGTCTTTGCCAAGAGCCTTTTAATTACTAAGCACCTATAGCAGCAATAATAAAAGCATAAGCAGTTAATAATAATGTATAAGGCTGCCTAAGTAAAAAGCTATTAGCGCTAATAATGCCAGCAGCTCTTTAAAGCCCCTTAATAAGTATATTAATAAAGGCGTTAATAGCGCTAATGGCAGCATTACCAAGTACCTATACCCAAAGCCAAGGGTATAAAGATTAATTAATAGGTTAATCATTATATTAATACCGCTTTCCCTTTACTTATTACCTTTTCTAGGCTTCTTTTACTTATATATAAGGCTAATATTATTATTATTAAGTTCCTTATTACTTTTATTAGCTTTAATAGCATTTATTTACTTAATAAAAAGCTTTTTTAAAGGCCCTTAAACGGCAGCCTTGTCATTAACTATTGCTTATACTTATATATTTAAATTAGCATTAGCAATATTTATATATATGCCGTCCTTTTTAATATAGCATTATTACTATAAAGAGTTTCCCTTATTGCAATGGTAATAATTAGCCTTATAATGAAAACCTTTAAAGCATTACTATATTTATATTAGCTTTTTATAAGCCTTAAAGATAAGCAATTAATTGCCATTTATTATAGTTATTATATAGGCAATAATTAACCCTTTTTAAAAGCCTTAAGATAATAATAACTTTCTTATTAAAGGGATACTTTTTAAGCGCTTAGCTGCTAATAAACCATTTGCTAAGCTAAATATTAATCTTGCTAATAAAGGAGGCTTAAAGATTTTAATACTTAATTACCTTAGCGTTATAATGCTATAAGGTATTATTTACATTGCTAAAAGTATTACTTTATAAGTATATATAATTATAAGATAATAAAAACCCTTGCTTAATAAAAGCATCTTTATAATCTTATTATTAAAAAGTTCTTCCTTAAAATGCCTTTTAATCTTTTTTACTATACTTAATTAAACTAGGAATATTCTTATTTATAGCTAATAACTTGCCTTAAATAAAACTTATAATAGCTTAATTATTATATTCCTTATATTAATAAGCTTAGCCTTAACTTAATTCTTTATTTTAAAAAAAAGCTTATTAAGCAATAAATTAATATTAAAAGCCTTATATTTATTATTATTAAACTTAAAGCTTTATTACTTTATTAACGGCATTAAAAAAGCTTTTATGCTAATAATTTTTATATATAATATTAAAAATGCTTTCCTTAGCAACTTCCTTAATAAGAAATGGCTTTTTAGCTTTTTAATATTACTACCCTTAGCATTGCTAATTAATGGCAATGATTTAAATATACTTAATATTTCCTGGCTAGCATAAATACCCTTAGCTTTATTTAAGCTGCTTAAAGCATTATTTTTATTAAGAATGGCTTTAAGGGTAACTTCTTTAATATTTTTAGCAATACGCTAGGCAGCATATTAAGTAGCTATTTGCTTATTTTAAAAGGGCTTTAATTAAGTTGCTAGCTTTTATTTTGCAGCAGCAGCAACCTTTATCTTTGCTATTAGCTTCTTTATATATAATAATATTATTAATTAATTAATATATGCCTTGTTAATAAAGTAAATAATTTAACATTATAAATAAATATATAGTTATAATAATTAAGCTTTTGCTTTTTAAGGGCCGTTAAAATAAGTTATTTATTAATTTAAGTAAGCTATAATTATCTTAAGCTAAAGTTAATAAAGCATATGCCCCTTAATATAATAAGCTTAAGTTAATTTTACTACTTTTAATTATTTTAAAAATATATATAAAATGGGGTTATAATAACTTTTCTTTTATTAAATTAAATGCATAATAACATTAATAAGGGTGTTTATAAGAATCTTGGTGCGTATTCTGCGTTTATAGCTAAATTTTAGTGCGGGGGGGGATAGCTAATTAAAACGACAGGGGGGGGGCATCACTTCGTTTGAGACAGACAGCGGACCCACTTTCTCGTGCAGTGAGTGATTGATCATTTACGATCCCGCCGTACGCGATACGAACAATCAACCGCCCGCCAGAGTTCAGCCACGAAACCCCAGGCCACGTTTCGCTGCGCATGGACTTGTGCATCGTGGGATCCGATACCGAATCCCAACTGTCGTACGACGGCGGGATAGGGGACGAGGAAGAGTCCGAGTCTAATCCCCCCAATGCCTATTGCTGTCGGTGATGCGATTATCCAAGGTTTGCACGCCTGGAACCGGCGTGGCTTATACTGCGTGAGAGGTGGGGCCCCAGGGTCCATCTACAGCAGCACCTGCTTGCTCCCTCGTGCACCTGCCTCGCAGCCAAAGTTGCCGGCATTCCGTCAGGTCGAATCGAGACAGAGAGGAGAGACGAAATAATTCTCCGATACAGCAAGGGTAGCTAAGTCAACCTTGTGGGCCCTTGCTGCCCTGGCTGGCATGACATATGCCAGCACTTCTATGTTCGCTATCAACCCTCAGTCCTCCTCTGCCCACGTCCCAAACAGGAAGCGCGTCGCGTAGAGTGCAGAGGACCCGGCGATCTGCCCTCGGTGACCGCATCGCTGCCCTCGACGCCCACAACGCCCACAACGCCCACAACGCCCACAAAACATCCCCCCTTCCCACCCCGGACCGAGCAACCGACACATGTCCATGTGGGCGCCCGTGTTTCCTCACAGCCTGATGCCACCGAGCTGATTTGTACCAAGACGGCCGTGATCTCCTCATCCTCCCCCTCCCCCTCCCCCCCCCCACACACACACACTCGCTCCCTCTCCTGCGAGGTTTGAGGCCGCCAGAAACATCCGCCCAACGGCGTCTCGAGACTGCACACCGAGTCCACCAGGAGTAGGAGTATAATAATCACAATTTGTCATTGGCAGGCCCCCCTTCCCACAGCCCCTCCCCCGCCCCCAAAAGTCCAAGCGGTCGCCCTGCTGCCCGCCATCTTGTCGCCCGGCAGGAGGAAGCACCTCCCCCCTGGCCGTTTCACGTCTGTCTCAAGATACATCTTCACGAAGCCCAGCCCATCCGCGCCCGCTCATTGGACCAGTCAACCCCGGGGCAGATAGGCATTTGCACACATAGTCGTTTAATCGGAGTAAATGGAGGAATAGACTGTCCGATTGTGTGAGAGGGAGAAGCAAAGAGGGAGGAACAAGACCCCAAGATAACAAAGGTTTTTTTTCCCCCTCTTGTCGCCTAGCCTGCATCAGACGAAGCCCACACACACCAACCCAGCTCCCACTGACTGAACGCATCAACCGCTGGGCCTGGATCCCCATCTTCCCGCCCACCCAGGTATATACCCTTGCCCACCTACCTACCTACCCTGCCAGCCCGCAAACCCAGTCAGTACCAGGAGGCGACCGGACGATTTAGTGGGACCCGGAGCTGGGGGGCCTGCTCGCTGTGTAATTCATGGGACGACGGGAGCGGTTCTATCCAGAGGCAGGCCCGCCTCTGGACCCTTGTAGGCCTGGACCCGGAGGTCATCATGGCATGATAGAACAGGAACAAGAAAAGAAAGAAATAATCAACAACACCCTCCAGATTCCTTCAATCGCATGTGTCCAACTCGGCCCCCTTGGCGGCTCCCCTGGGCGCAAGAAAAAGGCTGACGTACGCACCGCGCCGCCCCCATGCTCTCTCTCTCATGCCCGTGCCCAATACCCTCGTCCCTGCCGTCCTGGCTTGTTCCCGCCCGCCTGCCCAGGCTTCCGGAAAGATCGATGCCTCGACCCCAGGGGGTGCCCGCTGGACCGTAGTCAGGCGGGCTCCCGACGGCCACGTAGAGACGAACCACGGGGTCGGCCGGTGGGCGGGCGGGGAGGCGGGGGCAGTACACGAGGGATAGAGGTGAGCGAGTGAGCCCGTGGAACCTGTCCGGGAAGGAGTGCCCACCGTCGGGACAGATATTGTAAGCAAGTAAACGTCGGGACAGTACATTGCGTCTCGCGGCCCGCGGTGACACGGGCCCCGACCCGGACGGAGCCAACGGTGCCTCGCAAGACCTGCCACCCATCATGACCAGCGGCATTGATGATCTGCGGGGACCCCTCGAGGCGATCACGGCGAGAAGAAGGAGAGACTGGTCAGTTCCTGGTTTGGGTTGCCAAGGGCATTGTAGGGAGGGGATGGGCACGACCGGCCCATTTCCCTCCCTGTTCATCAAGAGTATATTCGCCTCCAGCTATTATGTACAAAGGCACATTGCCTCAGACAGTAATGCGCTGCTCCTAAAAGAGCCCGGCCGGTCATTCACGTCTCTGTCCTCCAACAACAAACAAACAAAAAGAAAAGTTCAAGAATCAACAACCCGTATCCCCATGACCAGCCAGGCTCCCAGCCAAGTCGCTCAACTCGGTGGAGCGGTCTTTTCTTTTCCCCCCAAACCTCCATACTGTCCATAAAATGCGAATTTTCAATGTCCGCTGCCTCTGAAGAAGTGGTATCCAAGATATAAAAAGGACAAAAAAACGCCAAAATCCAGTATTGCGCTTTCATAGGCACATCATCAGCCGCCACTGCCATGGACAAAATAGTCCCGGGCAAGATAACTAAGTTTTAAAACATTAGAAGTATGGTTGAAATATGGTAGGTCATACACAGCTCCGGCATATGAGATCCGAGCGGGTGAACGTTATGTAGCACGAAAGATGAATGACACGTGGCAGCAGGTTGAATATCACCTCAGCCGTCAGGAGAGCTGCTCGGTGAACCTGGCCGATCCCCGCGATGTTCGGGAGGCCGCGCCGTCGCGGGAGTGGTCCTGGGCTGCAAGAGTTCTGCCAATGTCGTCGGGCGGCGGAAGCGTCGAGTTCCGCGGGAGTGTCGGTGAGTCGATCGTCTTCGGTACTTCGCCCGTGACAGGCGTCTTCGCCGGCCCTGGGTTGTAGACCATGACACCGCTCTCTGGCCGCATAGGAGAGCCAAGAGCCAGGCGCTGAGGGGTGCTGGACTGGTTGAAAATGGCCATCGAGTCCCGGTAGACCGTGGCATCGCTATTGAGACTGCTTCGGTCGCGGGGATCCGAATATCCATCGCCTCCATATTGGAGCACGGGCGGCAGCTTCTTCCCAGACACCCGGACAAAGCCTCTCTCGGCCATTTCTGACCCCGTGTTGGACCGCTCCCGAGAAGACCGTTTTCCTGCCAAGGCAGCGAGCGAGGAGGCAACTGAGTAAGGCGCTGATGAGCGCTGCTGCATGGTGCCATATGCACCGCTGCCACTGGCGCCGCTGCCGCCGCCGCCGTTGCCGTCTCCTGAAGGCCCAGCATCCACAGCCCTGGTGGCTGGAGTGATGGATTTGTCGTCACCAAGACGCAGGTGGCACCAACCGCGTTTCCTCAACCTCAGGAGCATGAACGCAAACGCAACTAAAAGCGCGAGTCCGGCCACACCGCCAACAACACCCCCGACGACCGTGCCAGTCGGTGGAGTTCCGTCATTACTGGAGGAACCAGAAGATGCTGACGTGGACGAGGAAGAGGGCGTGGCAAGTATGGTAGTTCCTGTGGAGCCGTCACCGCCCCATACATCAAGCGTAGATGAAGGTGACGCTGATAATGAATCTGAGCCGGAGGATGTTGAAGATGCCCCCGACGAGGAAGTCGTAGGGCTATTTGAGCTGGAAGTGAAGCTTGAAAGCGGGCTCGAAGTTGTGCCACTTCCACTTGTGGAGTCCGCTGAGAATGAAGACGACAGGGTCGTGACCAGCGAAGAAAGCGACTGGGATGCCGTAGAGCTTCCTGTCGAGGATGAAGCGGTAGTCACTGTGGAATTTGAACGAGTGGATGAACTAGATAACAAAGATGACGACGAGGAAGAAGTAAAAGAGGCTTTATCAAACAGTTAGCCGCGTGCTGCAAGAGCGTTCTGTTGCGGGATGGGTTACTCACAGATGGTGGAGTTGAAAGTGGAACTCAGAGAAGGGAAGGCTGAAGAAGATGACAAAGTCGGAGGAAAAGACAAAGTTGGAGGGAGTACTGTGGTGGCGTCGGTGGTTTCCTGGGGCGGAAGAGAGGAGGTGGCAGTCAAGGACGTATCAGAGGGGCTCGCAGATGGTGGTGTGGTCTCGGAAGTAGCTGAGACGGGGTCCACAGACGAGATGGGAGTCTCGGTCGCGGTGGGCGAGGTTGTCGCAGCACCGGCGGAGTCGGAGGTGACTGACACAGCCTTGAACCCGGTGTCGATGGTGGACCCCGTCTCGGCATCTAGCAAGTTGGTCTGCGGGTTGGACGCAAAGGTCTGCGTCTCAATGATTGCGCCTGAGCCATCGATGACCTGGACGACCGAGATGGTCTGCACAACCTCGGTGATGGTGGGGTCGCTGGGATCCAGGTCTGCGGTTTCGTTCTCCTCCTGGCGCCTGTGGAAGTGGGCATGCGAGCGAAGGTGGTTGACACTGCGCCCGTGCAAGTGCGAGTGTCGGTGTTGGTGGTGGTCAGTCTTACGGGCCTGAAAGAGTGAAGACCCGTAAAAGTGGTTAGTCATCGCGCCGGGGCGGCAATGCCTCTTAAAGAGGGGCGTGTGACAAGAGTAGCGAGCGATGGTCTAGTGTAGTAAGTGATAAACGAGCGTGGGATAGAATGCCCCCTTCGGATTTAGGTTTTGGGGTGTGTTGTCGATCAGCACGGGCTTCCCGTATTGCTGGAGGCGGACCGGGTTCCGGTTCCTGCGCCTACGATTCGGTTGGACAATGGAGACTGGACGGCTTGGACGCTATGTATGCAAGGCAAGACAGGGCGATGCGATGCGAGGCAAGGCGCAGTTGCCAGCGAGCAGCATGCAGCTGACAGTAGCCGTGACCGTGACCGTGACCGTGACAGCGACCGGAGCGCCTGGAGCGACTGTAGGGACTGTGACTGGGCCGGAATGGGAGCCCGGCGATGGCTTGTCGAAAGCTTGGCTTTGGTGGATTGGCAAAGGAGTGACTGGCTGGCGCAGAACCATTGCTGACGCAGCGTTTGCAAACACAAAATCGTGTCGGAAAGGATTGGACGCAACGGCCAGGCGGAGAGAGAGGCGACGGTCGAGGTCGGCTATCGAATCCAATATCGCGGTCGTCGACGCAGTCGGTCCTGTTGTTGTCTCTTTTGTTCGGTCTCGTCTTGCAAGTCTGGGGAGTCTTCTTTGGAGGAGGAGGGGGGTGCCCGCGGACCCGTTCACCTCATTGTTCTCTCCGAGCCGGCCAATAGAACCCGAGCTTGCGTGGGAGCGAATGACACACGGCTTCTCGTGTCTTTGTGGACTTTCGACTTTTTCTCCTGCACAACCGCTCCTCGTCGTCGACTAAAGTGATGAGGACAACCACGCGCGCAACGTGCCTCGCGATCACTCGGGAAGGTGGTGGGGAGGAAAGGAAAAAGGGAAAAAAGGGAGTCAAGGGATTGGACGGGACGAGATTTGTCCACGGAAGGGAAGGGAACGACGAAGTGAGCAAGCAGCACTCGGTCGGGACTAGTCAGTGCAGCCCGCTATGGAGAGAAGGGCTATTTTCCCGTGCCTGCGTGCTATGAATGGGATTGCGATTACGACAGCCCAGGAGCCAGACGGGCGCGAACGAGCGTGCAATCACCTCAAAGGGCTCCCCCAGAGAGGGCAGAGAGGAGACCAGAGGAGACCAGAGGAGACCAGAGGAGACCAAAGGAGATGTATCGGCTCCATCAAATTTCGGCTCGCGCACCCTCCTCCCACACGGTGGATGGGCGGGTGCGCTGTGATTGGCCGGGTGGTCCCATGTTGCCGTTCACGACGGGGCCTATTCTCAGAGAACTTGGTCCCCCCTGTCACTGGCACTTTTAATTGTCGAACTCAACCTTGACATCAGATGACGCTCGACCACGTCCGAAAACTCAACAGGTTGACTTCTGAGATTGCCAGTGGTCGGGGGGCCGTGTGAGTCGAGCTGATCTGGTTTGAGCTGAGCAGAGCAGAGCATGAGCGAGTGGAATTGGGGGTTCTCGGGGGCCCTTTCGGTTGCACAGGCGGCACCAGCATCAAGGGCGTTCGCATTAGCAGCAGCCGGCAGCAGAGGGCAAGGAACACAGACGCGGGTACCTGGCTAATGAGGTGCATGTAGGTCGGCGGTAGGCAGGCCGTGTTCGTATTCAGGGCGACGCTATTGCTGCGTGGCGCGGTAGCATCTGGGACGGACGTGCACTTGTCCTGCTGCAGCATTGGCTTCGAAGGGTCGCGAGGCAGAGACCGATGTTCCCCTTTCTAGAAGGTGTCCGGCCGTCCAGACAGTCTGGGCCCTCGTGCGCCTGGGCTGGCGTACGTGTGTGGTGTGCGCGTGGTGTGGTGCAATCTCTCTCGCTCATTCCTGGCCGATCGCCAGGAATGCGGCCATCAATGTTTCGCCCAGCCCAGCAAGCACTGGCCTGCTAATCACAATCACGCAATGGGCCGACGGAAATAGAAACCAAGTCCAAATCCAAACCCAAACCCAAACCCCCAAAATTTGAGGTTCAGCCGAACCAGACCGACCCGTGGATGGACTTGAGGGTTCCGAGGACAACGGAGATGAATATGGAATTCTGAGCCGGGCAAGGCTCAAGCCGAAGCCTGGTTGTTCCCCTCGCGACCAAGATGGGCCGCACCCACACGGGTTGTCTGGACCGTCTGGCCCGCCAGGACCGTCCGAGCCGTCGCATCAGCCGTCGAGAGCGTTTCAAGCAGAAAGACGGTTTCCCTGGTCCCACGGGCTCCCGGGAATACCGTCTTTGGTGGACTGCTCCGAACTGGCCCTGCTCCCCGGCGCCCGTGCATCCAACCTCCCCCCACCCCTCCACCCATGCTCCACCCGCGCACAACAACAAACGGGGGCACAGCGGCAACGGGCCTTGGAATCGGGACACGGACTGACTGACTGACTAGTAGGCAACTTGCTTCCATGGATTTTCTCCTGCAGCCTCACCGAGTCGCAGATTTGCCCGTGCGTATTCAACGGTGGGCGAGATATCAAAACTCCCGGGATCAATGTGGTAGATCTGGTACACAATGGATAATTGTTTCTATATTGCCAGGAGTCTCCGTGGCTGCGAGGTGCCGCGCCACACTCATGTCCAAACGGGGCATGCGCAAGACGCAGTGCCGAGCACGGTAGCCTCTTCTCTTGTGCGGACAGAAACCCTGGAAAGCGGCACTTCTCACAGATCATCATGCAAAGACTTGGCCAATGGCGACTGGGATGCTGGGCAGCTGGGCAGCCAATCTGTACTGTGGTTTCAACATGCACCGCAGGTCCATATCCACAGCAGGCGACGACTCGCGGAGAAAGCTGCGGGGCTGAGCCTGTTTCTGCTAGCGCCAAGTGTTTGCTTCTCGCGGCCTGGACATAGCGGTCCATTGTAAGGGCCATATGAAACCCAAATTCCATGACTGTCGGTACTTGGTTTCACTGAATCACCCTCTGTTCAAGGCGTGCGTCCGTGTCGGTCAACTCGTCCCCATCCGCCCTCTGCTGAAGGCCACACCACACGTGACGTCATGGCCTGGTCCAAAGGCGACGGCGAGGCCCCATCGCCAGGAAGAGCTCCGGCTCCGGTTTCGCGCCCGGCGTCATCCTCCACGCCGCCGCCGCCGTACGCCGCTCACAGCTTGGGCTCGCCATACCAGCAGCCATGGCAGTCTCCTGGCGAGACTGGCTCAGAAATGCTGGGTCCTCAGCATGCATGGCAGACACGAGACCCACGTTCGTCCAGCACTCAGTCTCTGGTGCCCTCTGTCAACGAGAATGAGTACAGGAGGACGTTACTGGTTGTCTACATCCATGGCTTCATGGGCGACAACACCTCCTTCCGTTCCTTCCCCGCACACGTCCACTACTTCTTGCGGGAACAGCTGAGCGAGTCTCATGTCGTCCATTCCAAGATCTATCCCAGGTACAAGACCTACAAAGCCATCGAAGTGGCCAGAGATAAGTTCAGTGCCTGGCTGGAGCCTCACGAGAAGGAGGACACCGATGTAGTTCTGGTCGGGCATTCAATGGGAGGACTTCTTGCTGCCGATGTGGCGCTCATTGTATATGAACCTTCCCCTGTCTTGTCTTGTCCAATGGTCTCCGTTAACATGTCCCTAGCCCTCTCCGAATCCCGTTTACGGCAGCCCATTCAAGCACCGCATACTGGGCACCATCTCCTTGGATGCCCCGCTGCTGGGTCTTCACCCTGGTATCATCACGTCTGGCATAGCCAGTCTGTTTCGGAAAGCCCCAGACCCTCCAGGAAGGGAACAAGCTCTCGCAGAGTCTCTGGCCTCGCAGAATGCCTCCGGATCCCTCAGTCTACAGCAGACACCAAGCCTATCCTCGGATGCCGGGCCGTCATCAGGCACCATGTCTCCTGTACCGTTGTCGAGCATGTCGTCCAATGCGTCGGTTGGCCCACAGCCTGATCCAAACTTCAATCCGACCTTCTTCAACGATGTCTCCTTCGTAGACAGGGGCTGGTGGAAGAACGTCGCTCACTTTGCCAAGAAGCACTATTCAGATGGCCTCTTTAGCTCTACATACCATCACCTACTGTCGCACCTGGAATTCGGCAGCTGCCTTGCAGACTACAGCTCTCTGAACAACAGGTACAACAGAATCCGCCGGCTAGAGGATGTGGATGAGCTGAACACTACATCTGGATCACGCAAGGAGCCGAGGGTTCGCTTTGTCAACTACTACACCGTTTCGACGGGCATCCCAAAAGAGCCCTCAACACCGAAGCGTGCCGATACTCATCTGAAGCCGGTGGCGCCAGAATCGCAGCAGACCGGCCCGGGGAGTTCCCAGGCATCGACTCCCAGGATCTCGATCGAGGATTACAGTGATAATGAAGAGCCTCAGACCCTACACGTACTTGAACCTCTACCAGTATCTGATGACGAGAACATGGACGAGCATGGGTCAGATCAGGTACCCAAAAAAGGAGCGCAAAACGGCGGGCCCAAGATACCAGAATCATCGAATGGCGACGGAAGTGGCAATGTTGACATACAGACAGAAGCCCAAAACGCATCGTCTTCTGCGACCGCAGAGGAAGAACCCACACCTGGAACATCAACACAGACATGTCCTAGTAAAGATGGAACAGCCGATATAGACCAAGATTTACCAGCGATACCAGACCCTCCTGAGCCACCACAGGCTCCTGATTTTACGAAATACAGTGACAAAGAAGCAAGAAAGCAAGCCGAAAAGGAGTTCAAACGGACACAGAAGACCTACGACCAGGCCGTGAAGAACCGGGACAAGGCCATCAAGGAGCGTCAAAAACTCGTCGAGAAGCGCCAGAAGAAGGCCCAGAAAGAGGCCGATAAGCGCCTGAAAGAAGAGGCAAAGCGTCTGGCCAAAGAGCAGGGGCAAGGAAAGCAAAAGGCTGTCGGGCCACCAGAAGACGAGGAAGTGAACTCGGCCGCGGACCCGTCCCGTCCTTCCCAAGCCCAGGTGGTGACGCCGGCACAGGCACAGATACTTGAGCGGCAGCTCACCGACCTCGTTTTCCATGACCAGGAAGAAGCAGCGCCATCATCTCCACGAAATCCGAGCGACGGTCCTGCAACCGACAAGGGGAAGTCAACCCTTGGCGCAGGGGCGGGCCAGAAGAAGCTTCGCAAGTTCTGCATGCTCCCGCAAAAGGTCAGCGGCGGCCGGGACCGGACGTGGGTGGAGGTCTACATGAAGGATGTGGACGAGGTCGGCGCGCACTGCGGGCTGTTCTTCCCTGGGCCTCACTATGAGATACTCATTGGTGATGTCGGGTCGAGAATCGTGGACTGGGTCCGGGAAGACGCGTCGAAGAGGGCTATCCTGGCTTTGGACTAGACTTGGACAAATGCGATGGTACACATGGCATATTCCAGTCACTTGGCATTGCGAGTGTGTCGGGAGATACATACAGGCTGATGCTGGCGTTCGGAACAAGATCATCAAGAAGGTCTGCCAGAATTGTGCGCATACGGGAACAGTTCGCATGAAGTTCCTTTGCTATCGAAGATACCCACGAACAAACATGCTTGATAGTAATCTATTTCCCCAGTGCTACTTACTCAAAGCTCTACTTGCACTAGTCACCGGCGGCCTGTTTGCCCTAACTACAGCTTGGTAAGCGCATACAAGAAAAACTACCTATTCAAAGGCAGAAAGTTCCACAGGTTGGGAACATCGACGCTTCACCGCACTAATCAGCAAGAAAGAAGTACGGATCCAATTCTTCCCCCACGCAGAATTCCGATACTCTTCCGTCAGCTCCGGGTGCCAGTCCTCGAATCCCCGTATGCCAAACCCGGCCGCCAGCAGCAGGTTGACATACGTCGCCGTGGACCGGTGCTGCTTCTTCACGCTGGACCCCGGCCACGTCGGCACGCGCTCGCCCTCGTCGTGGTAGTTGTCCAGCGGCCAGTACCTGATTCCCTCGGCGTCCGTGATGAACCCCTGCCGCATCGGCGCCGTGAGCAGCGGGTGCTCGACGGAAAACACCAGCGTGCCGCTGGGCCGCAGCGCGGCGTGGACCTGGGCCAGCAGCCGCTCCAGCCCGGACACGTAGTGCAGAGCCAGCGCGCTGAAGACGACGTCGTAGGCGCCGGCGGGAAGCTCCACGGACTCCAGGTCCGCGCGGTCGAACGTGATGGCACTGGTGGCGCTGCGGGTGCCATCCGCCCCATCCGCCCCCTCCGCGCCAATGCCGGGCGTCATCTCGCGCGCCCGCGCCAGCATCTGCTCCGAGATGTCCACCCCGCGCGCGCTGGTCGCTCCCCCTTCCGCCGTGAACCACCGGCTGTGCCAGCCGAAGCCGCAGCCCAGGTCGAGCACGTCCGCGCCGCGCAGGCCCGCCGGGAGGAGGCGCCGCAGCGCGGGCCACTCCGGGGCGGAGGACAGGCCGTGGACCTGGCGGGGCAGAGCCGCGTAGGCCTCGAAGAATTCCGGCGTGTCGTAGATGTTCTGCGTGGTGGCCATGGCTTTTGGGCTCAGGCTGTGTGTTGGAAGCTTTGCTTGCATGCTCTGTCCTTCGTCAGAGGGAACGAGCACGGCGGAACCCGGGGGGCCCTCTCCGGCCCGTCCGTCCTGATATTGTATTCATCATGGTGTCTGCTTTGGTGAGTCCCGACTATACCGACAAATAACTGCATTTCGGCCGGCGTGACTCAACGGAGCGATTGCGCCATTGGCAAGGTGACAACGGCTTGGCTGGCTGCGGCTGAACCTTCCACGCGGGATCAGCACCCGAAGACAGGATGTACAATGTATATAGAATATCCGTAATGCACTAATACTCACAATGTGAAGTTCCTGACCGGGGTCCAAAATACTATCAGAAGAAGTGCCATCTACAGCGTAGCATGAGAATTCCCACCGCGATCCTCTCCGGGGCCTCATGATGATACGCATACTCTTGGAGTGCATACGGACATACTTGTACGGTCTCGAGTAGAACAAGTGTACAAGAGCTGTCACTGTACCCATCTCCTAAGCAATAACCACAATCACTCAGAGGTCACGCATCACGAGACTCGCGAGAAGTATGTCAATAGTTTCCGCTTGTTGTATTCCTCTACATAGGTCACAGCTGCAGAGCGCTGGAAAGAATTCTGCTGAAAACCGCACAGTGACCACGCAACATCAGTAAGCGAGAGAACCATTCCAGCCACGAGCCTGAAGACCCTTGCCGCCTTGGGTTGTGGTATCTTTTTTTTTCTTCTTGACCCAAATACGTGTGGTCGTTTGATGTGGTCCGCATTGTAGAGTAAGACCTCGACCCTCAAAAAGCAACGATCCCCAACGCCATGCTTTATTTCAATTTCAGAATGTGCAACAGTAAAAGGGACGATCCCTCAACTAATCCCCAATGAGAAACTTCCAGTCCGGTCGCATCGTAGTGGTGGTGAACTCGGTCCTGTCAGTCATTAATAAACCCCGTGCGATGCTAGGTGCACGCAAACTGTCGGGAGCTCCCTGTCCCCAATCCCCCTTTTTTGGTGTTAGGTGTGCCAAGCTCCATCTATGTAACAATCACTCTCTTGTGCCCCTTGTCTCCGCCCTGTTCGCCGACATAACATGTTGCGTGAACAGGCAGGAATAACCCTTGCGACCATAACCTTCAAACCTGCAGCCTGAGCTTGCCAGGGTTCGAGGAAAAAGCTCGGATCTGGACGATTTAGCAGACGGGCTGATGTTCGCAAGCGTGATGGCTTTTGCGACTTCTTAGCATACGTTTTGGAATGCTTCGTCCTTCCTTTAAACCGCGAGAAGGAACGTGGGCGTTCGATCCGCAAAAATTGGCCTGGACGACTTGAATAGCGAGGAACTCGTGCGGCTCGTAAGAGGGCAGCTGTTGACTCGGAATCGGTCGCGCAATTTAGACACCAACCATGCCAGGCCCGTAGGACTGACGGGGTGTTCCAATTTGTTGGAAGGACTTGGCATTCTGCAAAGTGTCAGCGAACGTCCTGAAACGTGAACAGAGGCAAAGGCTCTAAGCACCTTCTTTCTGCGCTTGGTGCCCTCGCCCTCGCCCGTCGAGTATCCCGTCTCTGCCCCCGTCTCGTCGTCATACACTTCACCGTAGCCCTCGAAGCTGCTGTCACCGTAGCTTCTCTTCTTGTTGGCCCTCCGCGGTCTGGCAGCCTCCTGAGCCGCGACGGACTGGGCCTTGGTTCGGGGGACGCCACCGGCCGCAGGGTGCATGGGCGTGCCAGGCGCTGTTGCCTTTGCTGACGTCGGGCCCTTTGATCCTCCCGCGAAGTCGCCCAAAACCCCCTGATCCCACTTCTTGCTAGAAATAGTGCCGCGAGCCATGGTAGTGGCTTGCTTGAGAACTTTCTGCACCTCTGGCCGGAAGCCGTCCTCGATCTCTCTGCCGCGGACGAAGTGCACGGCGAACTCCTCAGCTGGTACCGAAAGCAGGCTGAGGATCCCATCGGGGTCGTTTGGCTCCTTCTTCACCGGGTCGAAGTGTCCCATGAGGCCGAGCTTCTTAATCTGGCCTTTGTACGTCTTACGCATGGCGTTTTTAGTTCCGTCGGGCAACACACGAGCGACTTCCCCGGCGAGGCTGGCCAAATCGTACATCTCAAAAACGTCATCAGAGAGCAAAGGCTTGGCTGGCTGCCATGCCTTTTGCAAGACCAGATACTTCTCTCCGACATCCTCATGCATATCCTTCAGGGCTGGTAGGCCGTCGTCCATGTGCACCCTCTTCTGATTCTGGCCCTGCTCTCCGACGTCCTCCTGGACGCGCTTTCGCTTGTGAGGGGACTCACCACCCATGCTGACGTCAACGGCCGAGTCGGAAGGCAGGGCGGTTCCGTTGATGGAATGCGCCGGAGTCGGCAGGGCTGTGGTGAAAGAGGTCATGGTGCTCTGCACACCCGAAACGGTATCAGAATTACTGGGTGAGAAGTGCGACGGGCTCTGCGGCGTCTGAGGATTAAATGACATGATGGCTTGCCGTCGGTCGCGAGGGGAGGACGGTGGGAGTGGACGGTTGATGGTGGCAAAGGCTTCGTTCCGTCCGAGATGAAATCTCAGCGATGCGACCGACAAGTCGTCGAAAGTCTAGAGGACGAGAAGCCGCGAAGGGCTGCGGTCGCGGAACGGGACCGGAAAGTCGTCCACGATAGGCGCGATTGATTGTTTGTCAGGTTAACGAGTGGTTGGGTGTTTAGGGAGACAGGGAGGTCTGTCGCGTCACCGGCGACGGTCGGGAAGAGTTGAGTCGCTTGACATGCACCACAGCGTCGAAGCGTCGTCGTAGATCGGGTAAAGCGATGTCGCCTGGGTAGGACGATTGATTTCGGGCAGGTCGACCGTATCTGAGGCACGTCGTCGGCCGTGGTGGAGGTGGTGGAGGTGGTAGGTGAGGTTGGCGTCGGATACGGGTGGACGAAGAGAAGGTTGGGTTGGGTTAGGTGAGCGGAGGCTCTGAAATGATTGATGGCGGCGGGCTTGCCTGGAAGTGGACGAGGAAGTGGGTCCCAGCGTCTGAGTCCCGCCTGGCTGTTTCCGCTTGTGAATGGCCAGCCGGCAGGCCATGGCCTGGGCGCGCCCCGTCAGCTGAAAGGGTCAGGGGTACAGCGTTTGTCTGGCGCGCGGGCGTGCTGAGGTACCGTGTACACAATCCGAAGCACAATAGCAGTGGTTGCTGTCACTCTTTGATCACCGATCACCGACCGTCCCATGTGCGGCACCCATTCACACCTTTGCAACGCCCCCCACGATCGCAGCAGCGGAGAGTTCACAATGTCCATTCCTATTGAAACAATCAACGGGGGCGTTTGGTTTCGACCTTGCGATGAACCTTTGCGTCCAGCAGCCTTGGCCGAAGCCCGGCCAACGGCTTGGATTCTGGACCAGTCAGCCGGCCGGTCAATAGCCAGGTGCCAGCCACTACTACTGTGAGGAAGGAGCACCGCACAGACCCCTTATGGGCATTGATAGGTAGTCCTCGGCCCCTCGGCCCTTCGGCACAAACTTAAACAAAACCACAACCAGAAACTAAATACAACCCTCTTATTGCAAAACCCCTTAATAACTTAGCTTAAATTATAGGAATTAAATACCAGCTAATAATTATTATAAACATAGCTTTATTTAATAAAATGATAAAAGCATTATTATAAATTTATTATTAATTTCTTATTACTTGCTTTGCTTTTATATAACTATCTTAATACTTATTTATTTAAATTATTTAATTATATAACTTTATAAAACTTTATAGCTAAATTTAAATAACTATATATTTAATAGCTTTTATAATTTCATTATTTATTTAAGTTTTTATATATTATAAAAATTTAAAATAATAAGCTTAAATATGCTTATTTCTTATAACTTACCTTTAATAAAAATAATTTAATTTCTTAAAATAAGATTTATTAATTATAAAATTAATTAATAAAGTAAAAAAGCCTTTTTATATTTTTTATTTATTAATAAGCGCTTTTATTATTTAAATTCCCTTTAATGTTTAATCTTTAAATTACTTTTTTAATTAGCTAAACGCTACTTTTTAATAATTTATTATATATATTAATTAAAATATAATTTCCTTAAATACTTAAGTATTATTAAATAATAAGTTTATTAAGTTTATTATTATCCTTAAAAGTTTTCTTTAAAAATATACTATTTATATTAATATATAATTAAAACCTTAGCTTTCTTTTATATTTAAAAAGAAATAATAAAATAAAATTAAAAAGCTTTAAATTTAATAATAATAATATAACACTACTTATAATTAAAAACATTATTAATTTTATTATATAAATAATAACATAGCTTTATAATTAATAAAATTAAGATTTTATGTATTTAATTATTATAATATTTATAAATATATTAATTCTTTAAGTTTATATTTAAGCTAAACTTATATAAAATAATATTAATAAATATTTTAACATTTAATTAGCAAATATTAACTATTTTTGCCTTTATAAATATATTAATTTAAGCATTTAATTTAATAAAAAGATTATAAAGTATTTTAATATCTTTTATTTTATTAAGCATTTAAAGTATATTAAATAAGTTTATTTTATAAATAATATTTATTAAATTTAATTTTAATATCTCTTAAAAAATGCACTTAAATAATACTTTTATATCTTAATTAATATTATGGGCTAGCCTTGGGTTGTCTGCCGTAAGGTATCCAAATAGGGTTTATATTTAAAGTGTAAAGGAAAAGGTTTACTCCCCATCTATACCTACGCCAAAGCCTATTCTTATAAGGCCAAAGCCTACTAACTAATTACAATAGGTAAAGCCCAAATCATAACATATCCTCCTTTTCTGGGTCCTCATAGCGGGCTTTAAAAGGCAGCTATATAATAAAAAATAAAGGATATCATGGTTTAGTTGCAAATTAAACATTGCTCTTTGCCTAGCTATTTAATTATACCTTAATGCCTTTTAATTGCGCCAAAAGCCTAGCTTATTATTTATAATTAGCATGCCTTAGCCCTTATAATTTAATATGCTAGCCAAAGCAAGTTAATAAAAAACAATTATTTAAGTGCAAGCTAACAGCTAAGTTAATAGCATTCTTATAATCCTTTAATGCAAGCCTTTTGCATAAGCTCCTTTACCTAAAACCTTAGGACCATAAATTTATTATATAATTTGCAATTAATTAATGCTTAATCGCAAATAATTTACTTTATTAGCGAGAATTTCCTAAATTCTAAGCATTCTTATAAAGCTAAACTAACTAGCATATAGCTAATCCGCTTTAAATCTAAGCCGGCGCCAAGCCGGCATTGCTTTTAAGCCCTACCCTATAGGAAAAATTTTACGCCCCCTTAAATAAACTCCTTCCCCTTGCTAACCTTAGTTAATAAAAGCTATACCTTTATTCTTTTATAATAATTAAGGTAATTATGCTTATAATAGCTAAGTTGGCTATATATAAAATACTTAACTTTGCTTATTAAAACTATTGCAATATTAATGTTTATTACTTCGTCGTTTTAAGGTTAAGTATTATCCTTCCTTGTTATAACGCTAAAAACGCTTTTATATTGTTGCAAGGTAAAGCAGAAAGCCTTAAATATATCCAGCTACTCTTTATAATTAAGCTAGGCTTTTACCATAAAGGTTAAGCTATTAGCTATTAATAATATTTTATATTTATTTAATTAACTTTAAGTTTTTACTATATAAGTTAATTAATTAAACTAAGCAAGAAATTCTGCTATTCCCTTTTTATAGCGTTATTGCAATATAATTAAGTTAAGCCTGGCATGCCTTTGCTTAAAAGAATCCCTAAGCGCAAGGCAAACCTTCTTTAAGAAGCTCTCCAGCTGCCCCTTAAATATCTTTATAAAACTAACATAGGGTAAAAAGTAATTATAAAAAGTTTTTAATTAATTAAATATATAAAAGAATTAAGCCCTTTTAGCGCTAATCGCCTCCTTATTTATTATAAACTTAGCCCTTATCTATATCAATTAAGTTGCTAGGTATTCTTAAGATAAAAGTTCCTTTAAATAGGAAAGGGCTTAATAGGCTGCCGTTATTCTTTTTAAGTCTTGCTATACTGGATTTTATATAGTTGCATTATGGATTTATAATGCAAAAGGACTTTAAATATATATTATAGGCTAGCCTTGGGTTATTTACCATAAGGTATTTAAATAGGGTTTATATTTAAAGTGCAAAGGAAAAGGTTTATTCCCCATTTGCACCCGCGCTAAAGCCTATTCTTATAAGACTAAAGCCCATTAATTAATCATAATAAGTAAAGCCCAAACCGTAACAATTAATAATAATTATTAATTACTTAAGATAGCAATAATTTAAGCAATTTATAATAAGTTAAAATTACATTTTATTAAGTCCTTTTTAAATACTATAGCCGGCTTTAAAATAAATTATTTATTTTTTTATTAAATTATAAAGAAATAAAATATTACTTTATTTCTTTAAATTATTATTATAAATATAAAAGCTTATAATATAAAGCTTTTTATATAGCTAATTATTATATTTAAATTACTTGCTTTTAAAATTAAGTTTAAACTTTAAAAACTTAATAAAGCAATAATATTAAAAAGCTTTTTAAATAATATTTAAAATTATAAGAACATAATTTTTAATTTAGCTTAATAATAATATTTATTTACTTAAAATGTTATTTATTTTTATTAACTTATACTTGTTTATAAAGATAAGTTAAATATTTCCTATACCTTATAATATTTACCTTTATAACCTTAGCAATAGCAATTATAGCAACGCTTTTAAGCATAGCTACCTTAAGCTCTTTTATAATATAATTAATTATATATAATTAATTAAACTTAAAATTAATTTTAATTATTAATTTAATTAGCTAATTAAGGCTAAATTTAAAATGCTAAATATAATTAACCTTAGTTATTATTAAATTAATATGCTGCATAACGTTAATAATAAAATAAATAGCAATAACCCGCTTAATAATAGTTATAGCTAGGAAATCGCTAATAATAGCTTATTTTAAAAAACCATTGCTTGCTTGCCTTATAAGCCTTATTTACTATTAAATTATATTAATAAAATTAGCTTTATTAAGCTTATTATAGTAAATTTATAAACTTTATAAAGCAACTTAATACGCCTGCATATTAACTACCTTTGGTTAAGAAAGTCTTGAATAAAGAGTTTTTTATAAATGCAGCCACTAAGGCTTTTAACTATCCCTTTAAGGAAGCGTTTTTTATTAATAATTATAATAACTACTTAAATATTACTTTTTTTAATATATTAGCATTATTACTATTTATTTATCGTTATTATACTAAGCATTTTTATAGCAATAATTTGCTAATAAATTATATTTACTTTATTTATTTTAAAAAGCCTTAACCTTAATAAAAATAAATATTAATAGCTTTTATAGCTAAGGCAAAAATTACTAGCTTATTAAATAATTAAGGCTTAAATAATGC